CTCCTCTTCCTCTGCTTCCTCCTCTTCCTCTGCCTCCTCTGCTTCCTCTCTTCCTCTGCCTCCTCTGCTTCCTCTCTTCCTCTCTTCCTCTCTTCCTCTCTTCTCTCTTCCTCTCTTCCTCTCTTCCTCTCTTCCTCTCTTCTCTCTTCCTCTGCTTCCTCTGCTTCCTCTGCTTCCTCTCTTCCTCTCTTCCTCTCTTCCTCTGCTTCCTCTGCTTCCTCTCTTCCTCTCTTCCTCTGCTTCCTCTGCTTCCTCTCTTCCTCTCTTCCTCTCTTCCTCTCTTCCTCTCTTCCCCTCCCACCCAAACCCCTGCAGCAGGGCTGGGTGTCCAGGTGAAGATTCCTGGCAGTTCCTGCCCCGTCCCAGCAAACTCAGCTCAGCACCAGGGATTTCCCACTAGTGCAGCTCCAGAGCTGCCCCAAACCCTGCCTGCAGAGCTGAGGGCCCAATTAAGCTCTAATAACACTTCCCTAATTTTAATCTGCGCTGATTTTGCTGCTCGTGAGCTGGAGGTGCTAAAGAGGAAGGGTTTTTTGGAAGGGTAAAACATGAAATTATGAGAGAGCTCAGTTGGAAGCTGCAAGGCAGTGCAGAAGCTGCTATCACCCAATCTCTGCTTCCTGCAGTCAGCAGATATCTGGGTTTGATCAAACCCCACCCCTGGTATCGTTCTGGCACCCCACACTGCAGCTGCTCAAAAAGGCATTTAAAAAACCCTCTGCTGTGGATTTGGGCTGATTCACAGTGCCAAAACTGCCAAAGTGCCCAGGAAGCTCTGCCCTCAAACTTGTAATTTACTCAGAATTTTTCAGGGGGGAATTTCAATAACTTCAAGTATTGAATTCTTAATAAATGCTTCGTTTAATTCCCATCTGCATATTAGAAAATCTGTTGGAAAACTGGATTTGTATTTAGGGTTTTGTTTCTCTCTTTATTTACTATTTTTTTAATTGTAGAACTTGAATCTCTCCCTACAGACACAGCTGGGTGTCCAGCAAATGGTAACCCAAATGGAAAAACTGATGTATTTCATATAAATGGTCACAGAAATGGTGATTTTTTCATTATTACATTGGATTTTAAAGAGAAAAAAAATGAAGATTTAAATTTAAGTGGAGTAAGAGAAAGGCTGGTGGAAGGAAAATTACAGATTCCATTTGGATCTGGTGTTTGGGAACATTTCTTCAGAACAAGAAAACCCAGTAGAAATGAAGTGGTTTAACAAGCAAAAGCTGTTTCCTTACCAAGAGCTTCCTTGGGAGGGAGCTGGGATGTTCAGCAATGTTTGAACAGTCAGGGAGCACAGAGGAATGGCAAAGCTGCAGTGTGGAGCTCTCGTGGTTCCTGGAATGAATAAAGCTGGGGGCACTCAGCAATTCCTTATCATCCTCCCCTCTGAATTCACCCAGAGCCCAAACTGCACTCATTGAATCCACCCCAGGAGACACCCCTGGGGCTGCCTTGACACTCGGTCACATTTCCAGAGTCACTGGAATTTCTCTGTTAAGAAAAGGCTTTTCCTTTCTGTTATTTTCTTTTAAAACCAAACCTCTCTCAGAGCCTCATCCCCAGCTGTGCCAGGTACCTGCTCCACCTCGCAGGGTGGATGGAGAGGAAAATGAAATAATTTCATTTTAGCCACAGCTTCTGTTTTCCTAAAGGGTGGGGAGGCCCTGGCACAGCCTGCCCAGAGAAATTGTGGATTTCCCATCCCTGGAGTGTCCAAGGCCAGGCTGGAGCAGCCTGGGATACTGCAAGGACTGGGGTGGAATTAAATAATATTGAAGGTCCCGTCCCAAACTTTTATTCTGGGTTTTGCTGCTGCTTCCCACTGAGGTATCTCAGAGAAATTTGCAGCTTTTTTTCTGGAGAGAAGGGGAAAATCCAGAGCTGATTGCACTCCAGATTTCCTGCTGCAGTGACAGCAAACTCCTCAGATCCAAAGCAACGTTTGTTCCAGCTGAAGAGCCGGAGCTGGGAGCTCAGGACACAAACCCTGCTCTGCTTCCTCTTGATCTTCGCAGATTGCCAGTGGCAGCTGTTGATGGGCTCAATAACTGAGGAGGCTGGGGCCACTCTCACTGTGCTCTCCTGAAAGGCAGGAGCAGAGCAGAGCAGAGGAGAGCAGGGCAGAGCAGAGTGGAGCAGAGCAGAGAGGAGCAGAACAGAGCAGAGCAGAGAGGAGCGGAGCAGAGCGGAGCAGAGCAGAGCAGAGCGGAGCAGAGCAGAGCAGAATGGAGCAGAGCAGAGCAGAGCGGAGCAGAGCAGAGCGGAGCAGAGCAGAGCAGAATGGAGCAGAGCAGAGCAGAGCGGAGCAGAGCAGAGCGGAGCAGAGCAGAGCAGAATGGAGCAGAGCGGAGCAGAGCAGAGCAGAACAGAGCAGAGCAGAGCAGAATGGAGCAGAGCGGAGCAGAGCAGAGCAGAACAGAGCGGAGCAGAACAGAGCAGAGCAGAGCGGAGCAGAGAGGAGAGGAGCGGAGCAGAGCAGAGCAAAGCGGAGCAGAACAGAGCGGAGCAGAACAGAGCGGAGCAGAACAGAGCGGAGCAGAGCAGAGCGGAGCAGAGCAGAGCGGAGCGGAGCAGAGCGGAGAGGAGTGGAGCAGAGAGGAGCAGAGCAGAACAGAGCGGAGCAGAGCAGAGCAGAGCAGAGCGGAGCAGAGAGGAGCAGAGAGGAGCAGAACAGAGCAGGAGCAGAGCAGAGTGGAGCAGAGCAGAACAGAGCACAGCAGCTCTCCCCCGTGCTGATGGATGAGAGCAGCAGTCCCTGCTCTCCTTTCTGGCACACATCTCCAGCCCTGTTCATCCTTGTTTAAATCAGTGCTGCAGCCAAGGCTCCCCAGCTCTGGGGTCGCCTCATTTCCATGCAAGTGCAGCAGAAAGACAAATGCTCCTGACCTCCCTGTGCTGTGCTGCTTTGAGGTGGGAATATCCTGAGAAAAAACCCCAAATCCTAAAAAAACACAAAGCCACCCCCTCCTCCCTGGGTGCCTTTTGGAGGTTCTTGAAAGGAAACCAACACCTGTTGAAACAGTTCCTTCAATGCTTGGCCCAAATCCCAAACAAGGCTTTCCTTTTTTTCCTTTAACAACAAAAACATATGCAGGGGCCAGGGAAAAAGCACAGCTAGTTCTGATATTGTGCTTTTTGTGCTCTGAGTTGGAGGGGCTGTGACTCATTAAGTGATACTAACACAGGGTTTCTCTAATTTCATGTCTTGCTTCAGGAATTGTGGGGCAAAATATTGCACAAGGAGAGCAAAGGGGCCTTTCCTGCTCCTTGCATGGGACCTTTCCGAGCCATTTGATAGGGAAAGCTGGGAATATTTTATAAATCTTCATCCTGAAGGGATTATCTGCCGTTTTTATAAGGAGAAAAACGCTCAAGCTCTTTGTGGGTGCTGCTGAGGTTTGGGAGCACCCTGGCAAAGGCTGCCCATGACCCTGGAGCTGTTTCCCACCTCAGTGGTCCTGGGCTTTCATCTCCAGAGTCAGCTCCTAAGTCAGGGATTCGTTTGGTCCCTCAGCTCAGGCACAGAGATTTTAGCTGTGCAATTGGGAATTGCTGATTTCTGGGGGAAATTCTGTGAGTAAAAGGTCTTTGAGTTTTCTAGGAATTGCTTGAATGTCAGGAAAACGCATCCTCAGGGTGAGCTTGTACCTGGGGACTGTTCTAATATGAAATTCCTCCCTGGGAGGGTGGGAGGCTCTGGGCTGGGATTCCCAGAGCAGCTGGGGCTGCCCCTGGATCCTGGCAGTGCCCAGGGCCGGGCTGGAGCCCCCTGGGGCAGTGGGAGGTGTCCCTGCCATGGCAGGGCTGGGATGAGGTGATCCCTGAGGCCCCTGCAGTGCTGTGATCCCCCATGGGTACTGCCCAAAGTGCTGCCATGGAGCAACCAGGCTGAGCCTTTGCTCTGCATCCTGTCTGCGTGCTGGCACTGGGGTCTGGGCACCTGGGGCATCCCTGAGCATCCTGGAGCATCCTTGAGTATCCCTGAGCATCCCTGAACATCCCTGAGCATCCCTGAGCATCCCTGAGCATTCCTCAGCATACCTGAGCATCCCTGAGCATCCCTGAGCATCCCTGAGCATCCCTGAACATGCCTGAGCATCCCTGAACATGCCTGAGCATCCCTGAGCATCCCTGAGCATGCCTGAGATCTCCTGAACATACCTGAACATCCCCGAGCATCCGTGAGCATCCCTGAACATCCGTGAGCATCCCTGAGCATTCCTCAGCATGCCTGAGCTCTCCTGAACACCCCTGAACTCTCCTGAACATCCCTGAGCATCCTTGAGCACCCCTGAACATCCCTGAGCATCTCCGAGCATCCCTGAGCTCTCCTGAACACCCCTGAACATCCCTGAGCATCCCTCAGCATCCCTGAGCATCCCTGAGCATCCTTGAGCATTTCTGAACATCCCTGAACTGTCCTGAACATCCCTGAACATCCCTGAGAACCCCTGAGCTCTCCTGAGCACCCTGAACATCCCTGAGCACTCCTGAACTCCCTGAACTCCCTGAGCACCCCTGAGCACCCCTGAACTCCCTGAGCACCCCTGGACTCCCTGAACTCCCTGAGCACCCTGAACACCCTGAGCACCCTGAGCATCCCAGTTAAAGCCCAGCAGTGTTTCCAGCCCTGGGCAAGGCCATTTCCTGCAGGGTGGTACCTGCAGTCCAGTGGGGCCCTGCAGAGCATCCACGTCTGCCTGTCCCACAGGGAGTCCTTGGTGCTGCTTTGTTATTCCTTGGCTGAAGGGGTTTCTGTGAAAACCTCTCTATCCTTTGTTTGAGAACCTGGCTCTGCCTTTTCCTTGGAAATCTCTCCCTGCCCTTTCTCCAGGGCTTTTCCTGCTGCAAGAAACTTGTGGAGAAGGTCGACCCTCCTTTGTAAGAGTTGGATTGGTGCCTTTTAATGATTCCCACTCTCAGTGATCACAGTGTCAAGTTGTGCTGGTTGTAACTGTTGAAATTGTGCTTTCCTCCTTCCTTTCTTTCAGCTACAGCTGCAGAAAACCCAATATTTGCAACTGGGGCAGAGCCGTGGCCAGTACTACGGGGGCTCATTGCCAAATGTGAACCAGATTGGGAACAGTGCCATGGATCTCCCCTTCCAGGTGAGCCCAGAGGCTTTTTCCTTGGGTTTGGTGAGGAATTCTGGCCTTGGATGCTGCTGAGTGCCCCCAGCACAGTCACACCCTGCTTTGAGAACTTCTGCTGGGGCTGGGGTCTCTGGGTGTTCTCTATGTTGGTTGTGGTGCATTTTAGTTCCCTGAGAGATGCAATTCCTGATGCAGTCTGGGAAGATGCTGTAAATTCCAAGCAAAATGGGAGGAAATGAAGATGATGTTGGGGTGGAGGGTGGAGGAATTGCTGTGCATGTTCTGTGGGAGGAATTCTGGGAGAGGAGGAGAGCAGTGGGACACAAAGTGCTATCAGAATTGTCACTTCTTTTTGGAAAGGAAATGTAAGAATGTCCTGGCTGGGTTATGTGACTCCAGGAATGATGCACCTTAAACAGAAAATCAGAGGTTCAGGTGAATATTTTGCTGTTTGAAGCATGTTTGGACAGAGGATGCTGTCCAAGGACAGGATTGCTGGGTGGCTCCTTTGTGGACTCCTGATTTCCACATTTAGTTGATTTAGAGAGCTCAAAAGAATGAACATTTCTGCATTGGTTTTCCTTTTTTGAGCAGTCAGAGTTACAGCTGAGCTCACGAGGATGTGGTGGGAAGGAAATTTTGCAGTTTGTGGTTTTCTGATGAAGGCTGCTTAATAAAGATGGAGAAACTCTTGCTGACCTCCTCTAACTGCTTCTTGGAATAGGTGCAGACAGCTGAATTTGGGCGGGTTAAGAGCTTGAATCTCGTGCAAGAGCAGAGGCAAAAGTCAATTTTAATCTTCAATTCTTTGGGGAATACAGAGCAGAGGTTTGTAGTGGATTGAAGTCCCCAGTGTTACTCCACAGTATCTGCTCTGTTCAAGCTTTTCTCTTCAGCTTTTTGTTAAGGAGGTTGAGAAATCCTTTTAAACAACAACATTTCAGTATTTCTGTGCTTGATGGCCATCACTGGTGGTTTTTACCTGGACTGTTTTAATCCTGACTGCTGAAAAGGGAATATTGAAAAAAGGGAATATTCAAAAAAGGGAATATTCAAAAATTTATGAATGGCTGGAGGAGGAGACAGAAACAAACTCTCCTTACACCCTGGGCTTTTCTAGATTTTCACACACACTCACACACACACTAAAAACAGCCCAGATTGATGTTGTTCAGATAACAAACAGTGACAAACAACAAACCAGCCCCGTGTGTTGGTAGCAGGGGGGAAAAGCTCTCCAGGTTTTCCAGTGTGAAGCTGCAAACGTCTCTGGGATGGCGTGGAGGCAGAGCCTGGGTGGCTGTGCCTGCTGAGGGCGTTGGTGTCTGAGCATCTTCTGCTTCTTTGATTTGCAGCACAACGGAGCTCTGGCTGAAGCCTTTGGAGCAGTTCCTGTCTCTTTGGTAAACAAGTTTTTAGGTTTGTGCAAATACGTATTTGGGACTGGTCCCGTTAGCCCAGGTGGATACGTATTTCTGCACAGCCCTGCCCTGCACAGGAGTTATTTGGTTCCTGCCCAGCACTGCAGGGCTGCCACACAAACCCAGGTTGTGCCGTGCATCCCAGTCTGGAACGTGCAAATAATTCCTGAGCAGGCTCCCTGCACTTGCTGTCGTGTGGTTATTTCTGGTTTTTGGGGGTTTCTTTGGTGCAGCCAGTGGATCAGTCGGTCTTGGCCTGTGGGTTCAGCAATCTCTGAGCATGTGCACTCAGCCTGCATGTTTAAATCCATGGGAAGGGCAGAATGAATTCCCAAATCCTGCTTGGCACCAGGAGGCACCAAACATCCACCAGCAGTAGGTACCACTCCTCCTTCCCCCTCACCCACCTCACCTGGGTTTATTTCTGAGAAATCCTGAAAGGACACTTGGAGAGCACTGAGCTTTTTCCTTCCTGTCTGTATTGAGCTGCTGTTCCCATGCTTGGGGGGTTTGGGGTCTGCTCTCAAACCTTGAACGTTTTTCAGGGGAGTGAAACCCTCTTAGTTCTTCATTTTCCCAAATACAATCAATGCTCAGATCTATTAATTGTTTTTAATCAGTTTTTCTCCCTAGAGTTAAATATCTCATGGCATGCAGAGATGGGGAGTTTTAATCCAGAAACGCTGTCCTGGTGTTTGGCCCTAAATAAATTTTATAGGAAGGTTGCTGAAGGAAGCCAGACCTGTTGGAGGTGATTCCCATTTCCTCAGGTGTTTTCTGTTTCCCTAAATTCAGGATTCTTTTGGGATCTTGGTTCCTGGAAAGCCAGGGAGCAGCATTGCCCCAAAACGCCTCTTTCTGTGAGCTGGAGCCCTGATCTGGGACACATTCTGTGTTTATTTGTGCCACTGCTGCACCCAGAGGAGATTTTGATTGTGTTTTTGATAAGGAAATTGTGCCAACCAAAGGTAAACCCCTAAGAAATAGCTGTGTTTACATGGAACTTTTTGTCTTTATAATTCTGTGCCTTGGGCTCCCTTTAAGTTCCAGGTGAGCCCTGTGCTAGGGCTGGCTGTTCCTTTTTTAGCAGCACTGTGCTGACACCACTGACATAGGAAATTGCTTTTCCTGTTGACCTTCCAAGCACGTATTTGCAAATTTTGCTGCCTTTTGGGCCGTAACAACAGCAAAAAGGAGGAGTTTGAGACCTTTTGTCACTTTGGAATGATGAATATTCCCACTTGTGTGTGGGGATTGTTGCTCGGTGCTCGCAGCAGAGATTAAAGCACCGTGTTTGAATTGAAACCGCTTAAAATTGAGATTCTATTTGAGATTTCTCAGCCAAGTGAGGAAGTGAAGCACAAACCCCACGATCTGAAGTGCTGAGAGTCCTGTAAAAAGTCACTGTGCTCCTTTCTAGTCCCCTGTTGCCTTAAATATTCTGCTGCATATGAAATGTTGGCCCTGAAATGAGAAAATAAACACCACAGCCCCTCTGCAGCTCTGTTAACACAGCCTGTGTGTGCAGAGGGGGTGAGGAGCCCAATATTTGCTGAAGAGAAAAGGGTTTAAAATAGTAGAAAGACTCTTTAAAAAGTTCATACAAACAAAGCCTTTCAAAATAAATGCAGAGCTTTATAGAAATAATCTTTTCAACAGCCAAAGCTGACACTTGGAGAAAAAAGAAAAGCAAAAAAGCAAGAAAGCAAAAGCAAAAGGGATGAATGTGGGAGCCAGATGGTTTCATGGCTTGGCAGACAGGACAGTGCATTTGCCACGTGCAGCACCTGAATGGAGGAGGAAATTTTGGATTTCCAAACAGATGGTGTTGAGGGACTCAGCAAAGCTGTTCACATTGGCAGGGAGTGCAGGGCTGGGGAGGGTTTTTCTCCCTGGAGAGCCATAAATTGCTGCTGGAGTACGAGCAGAGCTTGACCCTCGGTGCTTCCTCTGTCCCCCCGGTACGCGCTGGGAAGGGCTGTGGAAAATGTGAAAGTTCTCCAGTTTAGCCTGGGAATTCATCTTCCCTGTCCTTGCCCTGCCATCCTCCCGCTCTGAAATCATCTGCTCAGGATGTCAGTGAGATAAGAGTCCAGGTGGGATCATCCCCCCTCGGGTCACCGAGGAGCTGAAAATCACTTCAAAGCCATCCGACAGAGGAGGAAGGAAACTGCTTTTCTTTTTCTTTTCGTTCTCTCAGTGTCCCCTTAAAATAAATCTGCTGCAAGGAGGGGTGAGAGGCAGCGCTGGGAGCAGGCAGCGCCCGGGGAATGCTGAGCTCAGCGTGCAGCTCCCCTGCATCTCCTGGCCCGCTCAGGCTCTGGCATGTTCTTCCTGTGCACCCTGCATGCTGCACCACGGGCCCGTGCCCCGCGCCTGGCGCCTCTGCCACGCTCAGCCCGGCCCTCGGGGCTGCCAGGCTGTGGGGGCAGCGCTGGGCCGGGCCAGGGCGCTCCAGCATGGCCCCTCTGGAGGAGGCAGCTTCCCCAAGAGCTGTCGGAGGAAACACAGCCACACGACGTGCTGCACATGGTGTTTGGAGTGCTCAGAGCGAGCCAGCCTGGCTCAGGAACAGCAGCAGGAGGAGGAGGAGGCGGCTCTGGGCAGCTGGGGCTGTTTCCCTGGGTAATGCCTGTGTCTCTCCCAGACCCCGTTCCAGTCGTCGGCCCTGGACACCAGCAGGACCACGCGGCACCACGGGCTGGTGGACAGAGTGTACCGGGAGCGGAACCGCCTGGGCTCGCCGCACCGCCGCCCGCTCTCCGTGGACAAGCACGGCCGCCAGATATCCTTGGCAGCAGGGCTGGGCCAGCCATGCCCTCTGCTGCTCCATGCCCTGGGGGTGCCACAGCTCCCTGACCTTCTGCTCCATCCCCTGGGGGTGCCACAGCACCCAGCCCTTCTCCTCCATCCCCTGGGGGTGCCACAGCACCCAGCCCTTCTGCTCTCTGTGTGTGCCACAGCACCCAGCCCTTCTGCTGCTCCATGCCCTGGGGGTGCCACAGCACCCAGCCCTACTGCTGCCTGTGGGTGCCACAGCACCCAGCCCTTCTGCTCCATGCCCTGGGGGTGCCACAGCTCCCAAACCTTCTGCTGCTTGTGTGTGCCACAGCACCCATCCCTTCTGCTCCATGCCCTGTGTGTGCCACAGCACCCAGCCCTTCTGCTCCATTCCCTGTGTGTGCCACAGCACCCAGCCCTTCTGCTCCCTGTGTGTGCCACAGCACCCAGCCCTTCTGCTCCATCCCCTCTGGCTGCCACAGCACCCACCCCTTCTGCTCCATGCCCTGGGGGTGCCACAGCACCCAGCCCTTCTGCTCCATGCCCTGGGTCCCACAGCACCCATCCCTCTAGTTCCCCACAGAGAATCCGTGGGTTTGGTGCTTCTGTCAGGATAATTGGGTTATTCTTGGGCTGAGATCTCCTGCTGCAGTGGAAGCGTTGCTGCCTTAACCCTGCCCACGTGGACAGCTGTCCCTATGGCACCGTGTACCTGTCACCGCCCTCGGACACCAGCTGGAGGAGGTGGGTGCCCCCAGCCCGGGGCTTTGGGTGTGCTCTGCCCTGCAGCACTTGGGATGGTGCCTTTAGACACTCAGAAACTCAGTTTGGAGTTCAATAGTGCTCATTTTAGATGAGCTTTAAAATTGAGGTGTCTGCAGGTGATGGTTGAATTTAGTGGTACCTTTTTAAAGGTAAATGCTTGAAGTTTAATCTCTAAAAGTCCTTACAAGTCTTTAAAAATCCAGATGTTCCCAGGCACAGCCCAAGACCTGGATATTTCTCAGGGTGCAGAAACTGGGCTGGGAATGTTCCAGTGGGAAGGAACACAGAGTTACACTTTGAGGGTGGCCACACTCAAAGTTCATCCTGAGATGCATTGGCCATGGAAATTCCCTTCTCCACAACATCCTGAACCATTCCTGTTCCTGCTCCCAACCAGGAATGTTTGTTTTAACCAGCACAATAACCAAAGTATGGCTAAAGAGCTTAAAAATGGCATTATTTGATCATATTTAATCTGAACAAAGCAGATAAAACTCGGTTCTAACAAGGGCAACCAATTTATCCTGTGTTCCTCTCAATCCCATTATTGAAACAATTGCTCTTCAAACTTGAACTAATTTCTTCTGCAAATTGATTGTTTCACCAGAAAATTCTGCCTGGTTTCTGCCATATAGAGAGTTTTGGGTTTTAATGCACAATATTGAGGTTTTACCGAGTTGTTGCTTTTATCTGAGAGAAAAATTCTTTTTATTTAGTGAAGCTGACAATAAAAATATTGTGGGTTTTGCTTTCTCTCAGGACAAATTCTGATTCTGCCTTGCACCAGAGCACCATGACTCCAGCTCAGCAGGAATCCTTTTCAGGAGGGTCACAGGACATGCAGCAGAAAAGAGGTGAGCAGAAAAAAAGAGATAAAAATATTTATACCAATATGGAATCCCCACAGCTTGGGCTCCATGTGCTTGTAAAATTCAGGAGTGCTGGCACTTCCTGTGACACCACGACTGGATCACATTCACCTTTCTGGCTGCTGAAATTCAGGAAGAAGTGACACAAAACAAAGGGAGAAGTTTTTCCTGAGCCCCAAATTTGGTCCTTCCTGCCCTGGGGAGGATCCTCTGGGCTGGGGGGGGCTCTGGAGGAGCTCCTGGAATTCCCAGAACTTCAGATTCCCAGAACTTCAGATTCCCAGAATTTCAGTGGGGACCTGCAGGGAAGGAGCAGAGGCTGCACCCTGAGTTTATTCTGGCTGGGGATCCCCAGGGAGCATCCCCGGGAGGAGGCAGAGTCCAGAGGATCCCAGAGCAATTCCAGGCTGGGGATCCCCAGGGAGATGCAGATTCCAGAGGGTCCCAGAGCAGTTCCAGGCTGGGGAGATGCAGATTCCTGAGGGTCCCAGAGCAGTTCCAGGGTGGGAGAGGAGGAGGAGGCAGATTCCAAAGGATCCCAGAGCAATTCCAGGCTGGGGATCCCCAGGGAGATGCAGATTCCAAAGGATCCCAGAGCAATTCCAGGCTGGGGATCCCTAGGGAGATGCAGATTCCAGAGGGTCCCAGGGCAGTTCCAGGCTGGGGAGATGCAGATTCCAGAGGGTCCCAGAGCAGTTCCAGACTGGGGGATCCCCAGGGAGATGCAGATTCCAAAGGATCCCAGAGCAATTCCAGGCTGGGGGATCCCCAGGGAGATGCAGATTCCAGAGGGTCCCAGGGCAGTTCCAGGCTGGGGATCCCCAGGGAGATGCAGATTCCAAAGGATCCCAGAGCAGTTCCAGGCTGGGGATCCCCAGGGAGATGAAGATTCCAAAGGATCCCAGAGCAGTTCCAGGGTGGGGATCCCCAAGGAGATGCAGATTCCAGAGGGTCCCAGAGCAGTTCCAGGCTGGGGAGATGCAGATTCCAAAGGGTCCCAGAGCAGTTCCAGGGTGGGGGATCCCCAGGGAGATGCAGATTCCAGAGGGTCCCAGAGCAGCTCCGGCACCCTCAGCTCCGGCACCCTCAGCTCTGGTGCCCTCTGCTGGGCCCTGCTCCTGCTCCAGCTCGGGAAAATCGGGAATTGCTGACCCTAAAGGGCTTTAGCAGCCTTCAAATCCCTGATCCCAAGGAAAACTCCGAAGTTTAACCCTTCAACACACCCCAGAAAACACCTACAAACACCTGCACCTACTGAAACTTCCTGGGAAGCTCCAGCAATCAAACAAGTTCTCAGCAATTTTTTATTGTTTCATCCTCCTCGAGAATTGAAACTTTGTAAGATTTTCCCACAGGTTAAACTGAGAAGTTGAATATTATTGATTATTAATGATTCCTTTTCATCTCTTTTTTTAGTTTTGTTGCTGACTGTCCCTGGAATGGAAGAACCCACCTCTGATGCAGACAAAACCCTCTCTAAGCAAGGCTGGGACACTAAAAAGGTGGGAATTGCACCTTTCAAAGAGTAGAAATTTTATTTTCTGAGCATATTTAGATAAATGAACGCTTTAGTCACTGCCAGTATTAATAAACTACTTGAGACTGGAGATTAAATGCTGTGTTTAAAAACAAATCATAAGCATTAGAGCAGAAAGAGCATTATATGTGCATGTGAATGCACAGGCTTGGTTACATGAGGAGAAACTCTCGAAATTTAAGATTTCTTGGACCAATAAAGCAAAAAAAAAGATAAATATCTTCTAAGAGCTCCCAGATCTTACACAGAAATGATTAAATTGAACTTAAAAATTGAAATATTTCTGAGGCAATGGCCTCCAGCAGCAGCTTTGCCTCTAAATTTCTCTCCCTTCTATTTCAGACTGGGTCATCGAGACCTAAATCCTGTGAAGTTCCAGGAATCAAGTAAGTTCTCAGCAGTTTTTTATTTTAAAAGCACTGAGATCTTTAAGAAGAACTGTGGATTGAATATCCTATTGCTTTGGAATTTGCTGGGAAGGTTCTAGGTACAAAACAAGACCCTGGGAGGGTCAGAAATAATAAAAATATTTTATTTATGGAATTTCTTGTTCAAGATATTTTTAAAAGCTAAAAAAATCATCTTAATTGTTAAATATGTTTTAGAAAGCTCAAAAAATCTTATTAATGAAATTTTCTTGCTAAATACATTTTAAAAATCTCAAAAAAGTCTTAATAAAATTTTCTTGTTAAAATATATTTGAAAAGGTGAGAGATACCTTCCTAATGAAATTTTCTTATTAAATACATTTAAGAAAGCTCAAAAAAATCTTCTTAACGAAATTTTCTTGCTAAACACATTTTAAAAATCTCCAAAAAAAATCTTAATTAATTTTTCTTGTGCGCTAAATTTTAAAAAGCTCTATCCAGACTGAGCTATCAATTAATTTTGATATTTTAAAGATTATATAAATATTTTTATAGATAGATATTTAATAGATATTTTATATAGATATATTATATTATATTATATTATATTATATTATACTATATATTACATATTATATATTATATATTATATTATATTATAAATTATGATATAATATATAATATATATTATATATTATATAAATATTTTATATATTAAAATACATTTAAAATCACAAAAAAATCTTAATAAATTTTCTTGTTAAATACATTTTAAAAACCTCAAAAAAAACCCTTAATTAATTTTTCTTGTGCACCAAATTTTAAGAAGCTCTATCCAGTAGACTGAGCTATCAATTCATTTGTGTTTTTTCTCTTGCTTGCAGCATCTTCCCCTCAGCAGAGCAGGAGAACACTACAGCCCTGATCCCTGGCACACACAACACGGGCGGCTCGCTGCCAGACCTGACCAACATCCACTTCCCCTCGCCCCTGCCCACGCCCCTGGACCCCGAGGAATCCTCCTTCCCTGCCCTGAGCAGCTCCAGCAGCACGGGCAACCTGGCTGCCAACCTGACCCACCTGGGCATCAGCACTGCCAGCCAGGGTGAGCAGCACCAGCACCAGCACCAGCCCTGGTACCCAGCGGTTCGGCCTCACTGCTCCTCTGTGGTGTGGGCCAAAAAATGGGGATTTTACTCACTCACAGCACCTCTATCATCCTGTTCTCGATGCTTTTGGGGGATTTGATTTGGGGCCGTTCTTATTTTGAATTTTTTAAAAAATTTTTTTTTTTTTTTTTAATTTTTAGGTTTTTTTTAAAACTAAATTTATTTTAATTTGTAATTTTTTAATTCTTAAAATTTTTTAAAAATTATTTTTTTAAATTTTATTTTTTAATTTTAAATTTTAAATGTTTTTAATTTTTTAATTTCTAAATGTTTTTAATTTTTTAATTTTTAAATGTTTTTAATTTTAAAATTTTTATATGTTTTTAATTTTTAAAATTTTTATACGTTTTTAATTTATTTTTATTTAATTTTTTAAAATTTTTATTTAATTTTTAATTTTTAAAATGTTTTCGTCAACAGAGAGGGTTGTTTGTTGTTCTGGTTGTTTTTTTTTAATGATCAATGACAGTTGCAAGTCTCTTGATTCCTAGAATAGAAATGAGGAGTTGTATCCAAAAATACAAATATATTTCCTGTGCTGGGCAGGATTCCCTTTCCCACTTCTCCTGGATTGGGAAAAGGAAATGACTGCAGTCAGGTGAGTTTGGGAAGCAAGAAGGGAATTTAACCTTTTAAAGGATTTGACCATTTGGGGACAGAGTGGGGCAGCACTTTCAGCTGCAAAGTCCCCCCTTTTCCCTTTTCACTTTTCAGCATCCTTGGAAGAGTTTTTTGGGCTCCAAAATTTCAGGGATGGCTTTAGAAATCACGATTTCAGCCACAGTGGATCTCCACATTTTTTTCCCCCATAATTAGCAAAGTAAATGATACAAACCCAAACTAGTGAGGGTGAAACTGCTCTGAAAACGTTCCCTGATCTGTCAGAGACAGAAGAAATTCAACATTTCCTCATGGACTTTGTTCCAGCTTCTCTCTGGAGATGATCCCACCCTCCATCCACTGCCCCCTCAGCCTTGGGTGCTTTCCAAACCGATTTTCCCAACCTTCCCTTGCTGCTGAAAGCCCCCTGAGGGCTCCTGCCCGGGAATGCCCCAGAGCCCGGGGCAGTGCCCAGCACCCCGAGGGGACCTGGGCACGCAGCACCTGCCAGGTGCCAGCACAGGGCTCAGGGGGAGCCAGGGCTGGGCTGGCACCTGCCTGGGCTCCTGCCTGCCTGAGCCCCTTCTGCTGCTGCCTCCTTGGCAGCCTGGCCTTCCTGGCTCCCTGGCAGCGCTGAGCCTGTGCCAGGTGCCCGGGGGCTCCGTCAGGCGCTGCTCCCTGGCAGCTCCAGGAGCCGCTGACGCTGCCTTGGCCTCAGATCCTTCCCTCGTTTCTTCTGGGGTGAAGCAGAAAAGAGGGGAGGTTTCTAAACTCCCCAGATTTTTGGCTCGATCTGAACCAAATGATGATGTTTGGGTTGTTTATGCTCACCCCGTGCCGGGTGGTGGCTCCTGGGAGTGTGGTGGACATTTCCTGCCCTGCTGTGCCAGTAAAAATGGGGCTCTTCCTGCATAACCAGTTTTGCTTCTGCTTTTTCCATTAAAGAGGTGTTTGCTTTTACAGTACCTCAAGTGCCCTCTGATAAGGCTGTTCCAGGATTTGTTCTCTCAGCCCCAGAGCCTGAGCCCACACAAACAGAGCAGAGGCTGCTTTCCCTGGGCTGCCCGAGTGCAGGGTGCGAGCGGCGCTGCCTGCGGGGTCTGCAGCTGCTGAGGCTGCTCTGCCTCTTCCAGGTCCTCACCCTGGCCCCCAACCCCACCAGCCGGGCCTGGCCTTGAGCCAGGACAGCCCACAGGGCTCTTCCTCTCATCCTGGTGCTCTTCACCCTGACCAAATTCATTACAAATCACCCGACGAGCTCCGGCGCCATCGGCCGAGGCCTCACTCGGGCCGCTCATTTCTCTGCCTTCAGGGAATTCCTTGGGGTCCGGAGCTCAGCAGGGCCCTGCCTTGTTCCTCCCATGTCCCTGTCCTGTCCCTGCCGTGTCCCTGTCCTGTCCCTGCCGTGTCCCTGCCATGTCCCTGTCCTGTCCCTGCCGTGTCCCTCTCCTGTCCCTGTCCCGTCCCTGTCCTGTCCCCGCCGTGCTGAGGGGGTCTCTTGTTCCCCACAGGAATGACGACGACGCCGGCCCCGTCCCAGCACCGCCAGCCCAGCGTCAGCCCCCTGTCCCTGGGCACGGACTCACGGCGACCTCAGTCCCAGCAAATGTCCCCCACGCTGTCCCCTCTGTCACCCATCACTCAGGTAGGAGCTCAGGGGCAATCCAGGCTTCCCAGTCACATCTGTATTGGTTTAATCTGCTTAATCAAAGAGCCACGGGGATATTGGGATGGAATTCCTGGCTGGGAGGGTGGGGGGGAAATGGCTGCTCCATCATCTCTGGGAGTGCCCAAGGCCAGGTTGGACTGGAATAAAAATGTCCCTGCCCATGGGACAAGGTGAGCTTTAAGGTCCTTTCCAGCCCAAACCATGATTCCATGAACTTCATCTCTTGTCCTGTAATTCCCTCCTTTAAAGTTGTTTTAAGGTGTTCCTTAATTGAGAACCTAAAGCAGGAGAGGTTTGTAGAGGGGACAGATTTTACTTCCTCTTTTCCAGAGCTATGATAAAAACCATTTCTTAGGCCACATTTTTTTGTGTTGTCCCAAAGTGAGCTGTGAAATTTGAAAGCCATTTCTCTAATTTGTGACAGAAACTCAGTGAACTTTTAAAGTCGATTTTATTGTGGCTCTGTGACTGCCCAGGTTGGTGATTTCTGACCTTGAGATTCAACCGGGCTTTTAAAGTATTGGTTTATTTGGGATGGTTTGGCTTGGAGGGAACCTTAAACCTCATCCAATCCACCCTTCCAGGGCCAGGAACACCTCAGAGCAGCTTTGTGACTCTCTGAGCCTTTAGGTGCCATTTTTACAGCACAAAGCAAGCCTGACTCCGTTTTCTCGGTGTGAAGAGCGGTGCCCTGGCAGCGAGGCTGATGCTGCTCCTTGTCTCGCAGGCCGTGGCTATGGATGCACTGTCCCTGGAGCAGCAGCTCCCCCCGTACCCCTTCTTCACCCAGACCAGCTCCCAGCAGCAGCAGCAGCAGCAGCAGCCAGCGGTGGCCAGCTCCCTGCCCCAGCCGCCCCCTCTGCTGCAGAGCTCGGCGCTGCAGAGGGGCCCGCAGCTGCCCCCTCTGTCTGTCACGGTACCTTCCAGCATGCCCCAGTCTCCCCCGGGCAGCCAGAGCCAGCCCTCCATGGGCATCGACATCAACTCGGTGAGTCTGGGAGGGGCTGGGACAGCGGCCTGGACACGCCCGGGGGCGGGAGGGTTTCAGGGAGGCTGACGTAAACTTCAAATGCCTTTGGGTAAATCAACCTTTAAGTGTTTTCCAGAAGAAAATTTTTGTCCCAGGTTTGATTAGACCCAGCTTAAATCTATCAGGCTTTACTGAGGGATTTTCAGGGTGTGCAGTGTCCCCCCAACACATCCTGGTACAGACTGGGGCAACTCCCAGAGCCTCAAGAGAGTCCAACCACAACAACCATTTCCCAATAAAACACCAGCTGGAAAATTTACTTTCCAAAAGTTGTCTAGAACCAGGCATTCTCTGCAGTTTCACTACTTAGAACCCTTTTATTTTGAGGAACTTTATTCCAAAATGGGATTTGTGGCTGCCTCCAGTGCTCTGAAGAGTTGGAGCAAGGATTTATGGACAGATCCCTTTTCCTGCTTGTTCTGACGTGGCCTGTTAGGAAATGTTCTGTGTCAGCAGCTGAAAATCCCAAATCAGGAATCAGAGGCCAGGAAGGGAGGGAAGTCCCAGCTCCCCCAGCCCCTCCTGCCCGGGGTCCTGGGTGTCCCATTTGGGGTGTCCTGGCAGTGCTGTAGTGACAGGAATGGCTCTGGGAGGGAACAAATCCATCCTGCTGAGCCCCACTCGGTTGTGGATGAAAGTTTTAACAGTTGGTGCTCCTTGAGGGCAGCTGCTTCCCTTCCAGGGTGGGGAGGGCAGGAGGGAAGGACAGCCCAGCAGTGCAGAGGATCCCACCCCACTCAAAACCTGTCCCTGTTTTGATTCTAATCCTCATGTAGCACCAGTACAGACAATTCTGATCTCATCCTTTGCTTTCTGTGTTGCTTTCCTCATCCTAAACCTCTTTATGACCTGAACTTTTAGGCTGCTGTGTTTATCTTCTAAAGCAACTCAAGTAACTCCTAAATAAACAGATTTAAAGCCACTTTATCAAAAAGCCTTTGGAGCTGTCACAGCCTCGCTGGCAACTTCTGCACAGGTTTTGTACAGCAGAATTGAAATGTATTTGTGGTTTGTACAACCTTCTGACAGGTTGTAAGTGGCAGTGCAGAGCAGAAAGAGACATTTCCTTGGGATTTACAGAATTTGAGGTCAAAAAATGGCAGTGCAGAGTTCTCCCACACTGCAAATCTGGTTAAATTCACTGGATTGCAGGTTCTCCTCAGTTATCCCTTAATTTCTAATGGAAGTAAAATAAGAAGAGCTGGGCTACTCTTGATGTTAATTAGTGCAGCATTATTTAAATCCTATTATTTATTTGTTCCAAACCAGGGTTCTTTATGATGGGAATAAATCCTGGAAAGTAACTTCTCAGGACAGCTGAGAAGAGGATAAAAATCCCAGCTGAAGCCTGCAGAGCACAGTGTGAATTCCCTGAGGGTGCCTGCTCCATGTCCTGGGGTGCAGGGGAGTCTGGGGCTGTGTTTGGAGCTTTATCACCCAGGTGTTGTCACCTGCACTGTGCTGATAACACAGCTGGAGCAGGGCAGACCCCAGTGAGCACACACGTGGGGCTGCCACTGCAGCTGAAGCATGGATGACATTCTTTTTGAATTATTCCCAGCTTCCAAGACTTCTTTGCCCTAAATCCTTGGCTGACCTGATTCTTTGGATATATTTTGAACCCCGCAGAAGCGAGAGCAGGCAGGAAATGCTCCCAGCGCTGTCCCAGAGCTGTCCCAGTGTGGGGACCTCCTTCACACAGTCCTGTTCCCCTCCCAGACCCTGAGGAGGGCGGTTTCCCCCGCAGGTGTTGGTGTTTGAAGGCTCCCCCACTGCAGGTGTTTAACTGTGTGTTGTTCTGTAGGCCTCACTCCAGCAGTACCGCAGTAATGCTGGCTCCCCAGCCAACCAGTCTCCCACCTCTCCTGTCTCCAATCAAGGCTTCTCTCCTGGCAGCTCCCCTCAAGTAAGGGACTCTGTGCTTCCACAGGCCTTGCTTCTCGTGTGTGTCTGAGCTGGATTCCTCCATCACTGCCCCATAGCTGTCTCACTGTGCTCCGTGTGTGCCTCATGCATCACCGACGCCCCATCTCGGCCCCACATCCCCTCCATCCCCACTCCCACAGGGCTTCAGGAGCTGCTGAGGTGCCTCTTGCAGGGAGCAGAGAGCCACAGGATCAGGCTGCTGGTGGAGCACTGGGGTGCTGTTTGTTTGGGGGCACAACCTCCAGGCAGAACCTTTCAATGGCCAGGATGCCAGGGCAGCAAAGGGGCAGCTTCAGTGCCTCCTGCAGCAGGAAGACTCCTGGGCACTAAATATTTAAATATTTACACTAAACATCCCAAACTGATTTAGGTCAGGACCTTTTTTATGTGAGAGCACATCCAGTGAGAGAAAACACTGGAGAAAATGCTCTTAAAATGAGCAGCTTGTGGCTGCCAGGGATTGGGTTCCCAGCACACTCCCTTGCATGCCAGCTGCTTTTCCTTGCTCTGCCTGTATCTCCTCTCACATCCACATGTCCTGGATGGAAATCACAACCTGGGGGAGTGTGTGATCCTCTGAAGGGGAGATTTTTACCTGCCAGCAGCAAGAAATTAAACCCAGGCAAAATTTGAGGGTGCCCCCGTGTAAGAAAGTGCATTTTCGGTGCCTGATGCTGCTGACAGAGCCCCAGCTGGCTGCTCTGGAGAATCCCACCTGGAGAAAAGAAGTGCAGGGAATTCTTCCAGAGCATCACAAGAGTCTGAAAATCCATTTTCTGTTTCATCACTGAACGTTGAAGGCTGTAAGGAGGATCCTTTCTAAATAAGTGCTGCCCCTTCATGGTTCCCAGGCAGAAGCTCCAGGTCTCCTCATTAGCCAGGTCATGGTAAGCTCAGCCCTGGATCCGAGTGGCAGGAATTGTCTGCATTTCCTTAAGCCTGCCTCAAGTGCTTCTTAACCTCTCTCTCCTGCTGCTTCTGTGAGTTCTGTGTGCCTCCACACACCAGCCCTGTCCCCCAGAGCAGAGCATGCTGCAAACCCTCAGCTCTCACTGGACAGCACCTCCAGATTTGGGCTTTATGTGGGTTTTTTTTCCTCCTTTGATTTCTCAATCACTCTGGTTTGGTTTTGTCCCCACTGGTCAGTGCCAAGGACCAGAGCACACACTGGGCTATGATTTTTCCTGCTGGTTTTATCCTGTAAAATCTTCCTCAGGTTTTGCTCTGTTTGACAGGGACACCACAACTCTTGAGTGAAGGCAGAGGATTTATTAATTCTGCTCTCTGTAGTTTTGGGCTCTTAAATACCCACAGGATTCCTTCATTTTGCTAAATTAAAACTGAGGTGGATTCGGTGCCTCCAGGAATGCCCCAAAAGCTGGTGGTGGTCACAGACATGAAACGTGGAGAGAAGAAAAACCAGTTTGGAGGGGAAATTGGGGTTGGTTGTGGGGATGGGGCAGCTGCAGGCAGCAGAACCCCTCAGTCTGCCCAGAGTGAAGGCAGAGCATCCTCGTGGAGCAGCCTGGCACTGCTGAGGGGGATGCAGTGGCCAGGCAGGCGCCTCCACGTGCTCCTCTCCCTCCCCTGGTGCCACAGGACATTTCCTGAAGCACAGACCCTCGGTGGGCTTTGCTTTGTGTCCCACAGGCAGCACAGGCTCCCCTCCATGCTCCCAGCTCTGCCCAGCCCCGTGCTCCCCTGTCCCAGCCCTGTGTGTGTGTGTGCCACCAGTGCTCCCAGTGCTCCCAGTGCCCCCAGTGCTCCCAGTGCCCCCAGTGCTCCCAGTGCCCCCAGTGCTCCCAGTGCTCCCAGTGCCCCCAGTGCTCCCAGTGCCCCCAGTGCTCCCAGTGCCCCCAGTGCCCCCAGTGCTCCCAGTGCTCCCAGTGCCCCCAGTGCTCCCAGTGCTCCCAGTGCTCCCAGTGCTCCCAGTGCTCCCAGTGCCACCAGTGCCACCAGTGCTCCCAGTGCTCCCAGTGCTCCCAGTGCTCCCAGTGCCACCAGTGCCCCCAGTGCTCCCAGTGCCCCCAGTGCTCCCAGTGCTCCTAGTGCTCCCAGTGCTCCCAGTGCCCCCAGTGCTCCCAGTGCTCCCAGTGCTCCCAGTGCTCCCAGTGCTCCCAGTGCCACCAGTGCTCCCAGTGCTCCCAGTGCCCCCAGTGCTCCCAGTGCTCCCAGTGCCACCAGTGCCACCAGTGCTCCCAGTGCCCCCAGTGCTCCCAATGCCACCAGTGCCACCAGTGCTCCCAGTGCTCCCAGTGCCCCCAGTGCTCCCAGTGCTCCCAGTGCTCCCAGTGCCCGCGGGGATGGCTTAGGAGAGCCCTGCCTGCCCCTGCTCTGTGTTTGCATGGCTTCCACCCCAGTGCCTGGGCTCTGCTCCCTGCTCTCACCTCATTCCTGTTCCAGTTAGCACAAACACTCCTGCTCTAGTGCCTCTGGAGCACCTGGTAGGTATCTGGAGATGGAGCGTCCCAGCCAGGGACCTGTGCTGTGCCCTCGGTGTTCCCTCACAGCCATGGGTGACTCCAGTGCTTCTGGAGATGGTGTTTGCACAATGCCCTTCCTGCAGTTGTTGTCAATCACCCTGAGGCTCCCAAGTGTTGAAGGAATGACATTTCCAGTGGGAATTTCGGGTTTTCTTTGGGAGTTTCTGTGCTTGCAGCTGTAGGAACCAGCACACGTCACAGGAGGAGCAGCCCCAGGCTGGGCCGGGCTGGGAGGCTCTGACCTGGACTTGCACTTGACTTCTTCTCATGTTCCCCAAAGTTTTTTGGGATGGAAACAGTGCTTGGTGAAGTACAAAGATTTTAGGGATTGTCCTCATTTTGGGAATTGTCCTCACATTCCCATTCTGTGGAATGAAACCACAGGAGTGAAAGGCACAAAATACCTCGATCCTCTTTAACTCTCAAATATCCTTTGGATTTTAGTGTTGGTTTTGCTTCCTGTCGAGTCTGTGCCATCCCAAAATTCAGATTTTCCTTGGAAATGGTTATAAACCATAGGTTGGACTGGATTTAGGTTGGTTAAAAAAAGCCAAATTTTCTTTAAATTGCTTTAAGTGGTGCTTTGCTTTTCTCCTATCAGCATCTTAGCAGGGGCTCTTGTGGTGTTTGATCCCTCCTGGTGTTTGATCCCTTTTTCCTGGGATCCAGCAGCTCTGGAGCGTTGATAAATTGGTGATAAATTGGAAAAGTTCCCACCCTGTGATGTGGCAGCCCAGGGGTCTCCCTGGCAGTGGGGAGGATTTTAAGGAATATCTCAGTGCTTCTTTTTCCCCTCATGGAAGGGACGATTCAGGTCATTTTTGAATTATTTTTTCATACAAGGTGGTTTTGTCTGAGGGTCCAAAATCCATGCCTGTCCTGATTCTTCCTAAACTTTTCCTGAATTTCCCATGCTTAAGTTTTTAAGGAGGAAATTTGTGGCCTTCTGCTTTTGCCATGTGGATAAACCAACAACTGAATTTTCTTTAACAAGACTGAGACAACCACTCCATGGAAATTGTCTTTTAGAGATGTTCTCTTTGTCAGTTAATGGTTTTTATTTTCAGCTGGAATACCAGAATTCAGAATTTTAAATCAGGAGTGGTGGTGTTGATTTTTATCTGGCATTTTTGATCAGGATTAAAACATGGATCTCAGATTCTTGGTCACCTTTAGGATAATTGATAAATGATGGAGAATAACTGAGGGACTGGACAGTGATGTAGCAGGGCTGAGGAATTCCTCCTGGAATTCTCACTGGGCTTCCCCCTGACCTTTCCTGCTCTGCAGCTCCCAAGGAATGGCTTTAAATCAGGAATTTTTCCCTTTGGGGCTGCAGACCCAGAGCCAGAGCAGCCTCAGTGGGGGGAAAGGCCACAAAATCCCACAGAAAGCAGAAATTGTTCTGTTGTCCCTGCCCATCCCCAGCTGGGAGAGGCCTCTGGGGTTCCCTGGTGTCCCCGAGTGGGTCCTGGGGATTCATTCCTGCTCCATGAGGGTCCTGGGGGATTCCCTGGGGATCCTGTGGGATCCCATGGGATCCCCTGGGCCCTGTTGGGTTCCCTGCTGCTCCCTGTGGATCCTGTGGGATCCCCTGGGCCCTGTTGGGTTCCCTGCTGCTCCCTGGGGATCCTGTGGGATCCCATGGGATCCCCGGGGCCCTATTGGGTTCCCTCCTGCTCCCTGTGGGGTCCTGTGGGGTCCTTTGGGATCCTGTGGGCCCTGTTGGGTTCCCTCCTGTTCCCTGGGGATCCTGTGGGATCCTCTGGGATCCCCTGGGCCCTGTTGGGTTCCCTCCTGTTCCCTGTGGATCCTCTGGGATCCTCTGGGATCCCCTGGGCCCTGTTGGGTTCCCTCCTGCTCCCTGTGGATCCTGTGGGATCCTCTGGGATCCCCTGGGCCCTGTTGGATTCCCTCCTGTTCCCTGTGGATCCTCTGGGATCCTGTGGGGTCCTGTGGGATCCCCTGGGCCCTGTTGGGTTCCCTGCTGCTCCCTGTGGATCCTCTGGGATCCTCTGGGATCCCCTGGGCCCTGTTGGGTTCCCTGCTGCTCCCTGTGGATCCTGTGGGGTCCTCTGGGATCCCCTGGGCCCTGTTGGGTTCCCTGCTGCTCCCTCTGGATCCTGTGGGATCCTCTGGGATCCCCTGGGCCCTGTTGGGTTCCCTGCTGCTCCCTCTGGATCCTGTGGGATCCCATGGGATCCCCGGGGCCCTGTTGGGTTCCCTGCTGCTCCCTGTGGATCCTCTGGGATCCCCTGGGCCCTGTTGGGTTCCCTCCTGTTCCCTGTGGATCCTCTGGGATCCCTGGGCCCTGTTGGGTTCCCTGCTGCTCCCTGTGCATCCCCTGGGCCGTGAGGGCCCTGTGAGGGCCCTGGGCCATTCCCGCCCACTCCGTGCTGATTTCCCTGAATTCCCAGATTTCTCTGGAATTCCTGGATTTCTCTGGCATTCCCGGTTTTCTCCAGCATTCCCAGATTTCCCAGAACCCCCGTTTTTCTCGGCACTCCCGATTTTCCCGGCATTCCCGCTTTTCCCGGCGCCGCCGGGGGCAGTGGGGGATTTGCACCATGAAGCTCTGTTTTGTTTTCAGCATTCTTCCATGCTGGGCAGTGTTTTTGGGGACTCCTATTATGAGCAGCAGATGACAGCTAGGCAGGCTAATGCCCTCTCCCACCAGGTGAGCAAATTCATCTCGGGCCTCCTCGGCCCCTCCCACCTCAAATTAACCCCAATTAACGCCTGGTTAATTTACGTCAGTCCCCGTTCTGTCCATGTAGAGTTTCTTGTTTTGTTTGGTTTCCCTCCCTCCCTCCCCTCTCTTTGTCCTCCCCATCCCACGCAGGTGTTCCGCCAAAAAAAATGGGAGATCAGTTAAAAATGTATAATAATGAAGCTTTTAAAATGGGAGATCAATTAAAAAAAATATATAATAATGAAGCTTTTAAAATGGGAGATCCATTAAAAATATATAATAATGAAGCTTTGAAAATGGGAGACCAATTAAAAAATATATATGTAATAATGAGGCTTTGAAAATGGGAGATCAATTAAAAATTATATATAATAATAAAGCTTTTAGAATGGGAGATCAATTAAAAATTATATAATAATGAGGCTTTGAAAATGGGAGATCAATTAAGAAAATAGATATTGAAGCTTTTAAAATGAGAGATCAAGTAAAAAAATATATAATAATGGGAGACCAATTAAAATATAGATAATAATCAAGCTTTTAAAATGAGAGCTCAATTAAAAATATATAATAATCAAGCTTTTAAAATGGGATATCAATTTAAAAAATATATAATAATGAAGCTTTTAGAATGGGGGATCAATTAAATATATATAATAATACAGCTTTTAAAGATTCAAATAATGCCAGGCAGCTTTGAAAGGGGAAAACAGTGAAACAAAAATGTTAAAGCAGTGAAAATCAGCTTGGAAAAAGGAATTCTGCTGGGCAGAGACCTCAGGGTGAGCCTGAATTCCCTTTATTCCCCTCTCAATCCTCCACAGAGCATGGGTGAATTCAATTATTGAATTTAATTCTGGGATTAAAATAATAAAAGTTATGGAATACTTAAACTGGGGTGTGTCCTGGAGGGAATTCTGCTGGGCAGAGACCTCAGGGCGAATTCATCCCTTTATTTCCCTTTCAATCTTCCAGTAGAGCATGGATGGATTAAATGATTGAATTTAATTCTGGATTAAATTAATTAAATTATTAAATACTTAAACCTGGGATGAGTCTTGGAGGGAATTCTGCTGGGAGAGACCTCAGGGCTCTTTCCCTTTCCATCCTCCAGCAGAGCATGGATGGATTAAATGATTGAATTTAATTCTGGGATTAAATTATGGAATACTTAAACTGGGGCGTGTCCTGGAGGGAATCCTGCTGGGCAGAGACCTCAGGGTGAGCCCGAGTTCCCTTTATTTCCCTTTATTTCCCGTTATTCCCTTTATTTCCCTTCCCAGCCTCCCTTTCCTTCTGTCCCCCCTCCCCAGTCTGGCTGGTGCCTCCCGGTCCCGAATTGGGCAGGGACTGTCCCGCGCAGCTCAGGGCCCAGGGCCCCGTTTGGAGCCAGGGAAGATGAATTTGTTTGCCTGTCTGTGTTGTCCTGGAGCCGTGTCCTCGTGCCCTGTCCCTGCCAGGCTGGCAGGTAACCCCTGGCGTGTCCCCCTGCAGCTGGAGCAGTTCAACATGATCGAGAACGCCATCAGCTCCAACAGCCTGTACAGCCCCTGCTCCACGCTCAACTACTCGCAGGCTGCCATGATGGGACTGACGGGCAGCCACGGCAGCCTGCAGGACTCGCAGCAGCTCAACTACTCCAGCCACAGCAACATCCCCAACATCATCCTGACAGGTAAAGGTAAAACCCCCCCTGGCAGTGCCCTGCCCTGGGCCCTGTGCTGTGCTGTGCTCCCCTTGCAGGGAGGAGTGATGGAGCTGACTCTGTGTGGAACAGGAGCCTCCTCCAGCCGGCTCTCATCAGCTCTTGGAGCTTTGTTTCACAGCCAAATAGCTCAGCTACCTTACAAGGCATAAAATCAACAAAATGGCTTCTGTTGCAGTATTAGAAACAAAGAGATTTTAATAAAAGGCAAAATAACAAACTCTTTACAGGGTCCCTGCCAATACCATACTGAGCAGCTCCTCAGGGCATGGCCCAGCCCTGCCACAGCTCCAGGAGTGTTTGGACAGTGCTCTGGGACAGGCTGGGGTTTGGGGTGTCTGTGCAGGGCCTGGAGCTGGATCCAGGATCCCTGGGGTCCCTCCCAGCTCAGGATGGTTCAGCACCCCATGGCCCCAGCCTGGGGGTGTCTCCTGGGGATTGTTGCTGATGGGGGCTTCGTTCACCTGGGCTGTAGTGCCAGTCCAGTGTGGCTGCTGACTGAAACAGGTAACTTCATCCTAGGGAACTTGTGAGAATGCTCAGAGAAAGAATGAAAACATTTCTTACCTTAATCTCTGCCCCTGGTGTTTGTGAGCACGTGGAATGTTTGTACATTGTGTTTATGGAAGGATGTTTACAAGGAAGTGTTGTTTCTGCTCAGCCAGTGGGGAAGGACCAGTCGGGTTCTGAGTGAACAATCCTGTCTATGAATATGTAAAGTTCCTGATGAACCTTTAGGAACTTTAGGGAACTTTTCCCTTTTTAAAAGAATTTTAAAGACTGATGTCTTCTGAGCATTGGAGCCAATGTCTCCTTCCTTCAGCCATTCCTAACTGGAGTCCAGGTGTGTGTCCCAGTGCTCACCTGCACACAGGTGGAGCACCTAGAGCACCACTTTTCCTGTGGATTTATCCTCCTGACTTCCCTGGATCCTCTGCTAGAGTGAGGAAAGGCTGTGGGAGCCAAGCTCTGCCTGCTCAGCCCCAGCTGGCCAGCAGAGGGTTGGAGTGTCACATATGGTGGCCAATCTGGTCACAGTGGGATTTTGGAAACAATTCCTGCCCAGGATCCTATGGCTGCAGCCAGGGATTGCTGATGGTGGAATTGAGGTTATTCCTCCTCAAGCTGAGGGAGAGGAAAGGCTCCAGTCACACCAAACACGAATTTTGGGTTGTGTTTGATGGCTTGGAGATGCTGTGAGGAATCTGGAATCTGCAGGAGGGTGGATGTTCCTCATCTGAGAGCTCCATAACCATTTCCAGGGTTTTGGGAGCTGTTTCCTGAGTTCCTCGCGGTGTTTCTGGGAGTTTTCTGTTTCAGCAGTCCTGCTGGGGTCTGAGCCCTGTGTGTTTTGTCCCTGCAGTGACAGGAGAATCCCCCCCCAGCTTATCAAAAGAACTGACCAGCTCCTTGGCAGGAGTGGGGGACGTCAGCTTCGACACGGATTCCCAGTTCCCTCTGGATGAACTCAAAATTGACCCTTTGACCCTGGATGGACTTCACATGCTCAACGACCCCGACATGGTCCTCACCGACCCCGCCACAGAGGACACGTTCCGCATGGACCGGCTGTGACCGGGGCTGCGCCCACCCTGGGGCTGCGTCCACCCCGGAGCCACCATCCCGAGGGCTCCATCTCACCCTGGAGCCACCATCCTGGGGGCTTCATCCATCCTGGGGCTGCATCCCATCCTGGAGCCACCATCCTGGGGCTTCATCTACCCTGGGGCTGCATCCACCTTGGAGCCACCATCCTGGGAGCTCCATCTCACCCTGGGGCCACCATCCTGGGAACTTCATCTACCCTGGGGCTGCATCCCTCCCTGGAGCCACCATCCTGGGGGCTGCATCCCACCCTGGGGCCACCATCCTGGGGCTTCATCCACCCTGGAGCCACCATCCTGGGGGCTTCATCCACCCTGGGGGCTGCATCCAACCCCAGGGGCTCCATCCCAGCCTGGGGTCCATCCCAGCCCGGGGTCCATCCTGGAGGGAGCAGCTCTCCGTGTCCCTGTCCCATGGGTCCCCCAGCTTGTTGTTCTGAGCTTGCCGCGCTGCCCAGCCTGTCCCAGCCGTGTCCCCCGAGCCGCTCGTTGCCGTCCAGCAGTCAGGATTGTCCGGTTTGTCCCGGTGGTTTATCCCAGTTCATCCCAGTTTATCCCGGTTTGTCCCGGTGGTTTATCCCAGTTTGTCCTGGTGGTTCATCCCAGTTTATCCCAGTTTGTCCTGGTTTGTCCCGGTGGTTCATCCCAGTTTATCCCGGTTTATCCCAATGGTTTATCCCAGTTTATCCCGATGGTTTATCCCAGTTTACCCGTTTGTCCCGGTGGTTTATTCCGGTTTGTCCCGGTGGTTTATCCCAGTTCATCCCGGTTTTTCCCGGTGGTTATCCCGGTTTTTCCCAGTGGTTTATACCGGTTTATCCCGGTGGTTTATCCCGGTTTGTCCCGGTGGTTATCCCGGTGGTTATCCCGGTTTATCCCGGTGGTTTATCCCAGTGTTATCCCGGTTTATCCCGGTGGTTATCCCGGTTTGCCATCGCCTTTCCCCGGCAGAGCCCCCGTGCCCCAGCTGGGCGCGGTCCCTGTGCAGCGCTGGGGGCTCTGGGCAGCCGGGCCGGGGCTGTGGGGCTGGCGGGGCCGGGCCCCGTGGGGAGCAAACCCCGGCAGTGCCACCATCCCCGGGCCCTGCTCGGTGGCTCTGCTGCCCCAGGTGTGTCCCAGCCTCTGTCCCTCCTGCCTGCCCCAGCGCCCCCGGCCAAGCGGAGCCGCCGGGCCCACAAATCCACTTCAAACACTATTTTGTTCCAAGCTTTTCATGGGTTTGTTTTGTTTTGTTTTTGTTTTTTTAAATATATATGTAATATATATCTATTTCTATATATGGCTACATATATAGAGAGCATTTCTGAGCACACGTGAAAGTTCTATAATTCATTACTTGATTAGACAGAGGATCAGAACATCTTAAAGCAGCTAAAAAAAATAGAGACTAACCTGCATAATCCTAATTTTTACTTTGTGAGAGATTCCTGGGCAACAGGAAGGGCATTTCCATAGCAATGCCAGGCTCGTAGAATCATGATTTTTAAATTTTTTATTCTTATTCATTACTTATTCTGTTACTTATTTATGATTTTTTTTTGGTTGTTGTTGTTGTCATTTCTTTTTTTTTAAATTTTATTTAAATATTTGGATATTAGGAAAGTAGCTCAACTACATACAGCCAATGGAAGCACTCTACATAATATTTGTACAGTACTTTTTTTTTTTTTGTGGTTTTACTCCAGAAATATATTATATATATTATATATGTAGGTATTTTTAAACTAACTGGAATTTCAAACAGATGTTAAGCAGGAATAAGGAAACCTAAGGCAAGTTTAGATATTTTCCTTTGGAATAGGCAAAATAGGGTGGTTGGAACTTAAAAATTCCTTCATTCACCCGGGGGAAAAAAAAATCTCTTGCTCCACAATGACCAGGATTGAATCCTCCAAAATTCTGTTTAATTAAATGGAGAATTAATTGTTTCTGATGGTCCTTGTGAATATTTTGTGCTGCAAATTTAAAAAAAACCCAAAAACCAGCCAGATTGCTCAGGCTGGGAATTGGGGATTTCCCTGTGGCTGGAGGGAAGGTGATTCCCAGATTTCTGGGAATGAATGGAATTAGAGGGCACTGCTGGAACATCCTCATTCCACTGGGGAAAGGCAGGAATTGATCAGGAATTAACAGGATTTGGAGTCATTAATTAACTCACCCCGAGGATTCCATCCCTAAAACCCCTCCCAGTTCAGTTCCAGTTCCCAGCAGTTGGGGTTTGTGGATTTTCCCTGTGCCTGGAACCCCAACCCCAAAGCTTCTCCTCTTTGGGAACGGCCTGGGCTGCTCTTAACGAGCTCCCCGCAATTAATGAGAGTCCCCCCGCAATTAGCGACTCCTCCCTGCTCTCCTGAGTTCTCCTAATGAGTTATCCAAGTTTCTGTGTGCTTCCAGGAATCCTGGGCTGCCTGCTGAGGCTCCTGCCCGCTCTGCTGAGCAGGAGCAGGGTCAGGAGCTCCCCAGCCCGGGCTGTCCCCTCACCTTCTGTGCCATTTGTTGACCATTTGCACTAAAAACGTGGAATTTTTTCTTGGCTTCCCTGTGTCTTTTTTATTTCTTTGTTGTTTTGTTCTGTTTTGTTTTGTTTTCATTTCATCCTTCTCCATGCCCTCCAGATTTTTCCCTGCATCTCTTGGGAATATTTTGGGATTTTTTGGCAGGGTTTGAGCTCGGTAGGACACGTTCAGTCCCGGTGGCTGCTCCTTTCAGATCCCTCACGCTTTTTCAGTTCAAGGAGGAGATAAAAGGCAGCTCAGACAGGAGGAAACCTGGGAAAAACCAGGAGGGATTTGGGCCCAGGTGACTGGGAGCCCCTTGCTGAAGGTGCAGTGAGAGCTTTGTGCAGCTCCATGTGGGAATTGCATTTCTCCCCTGCTGGAATGTTTGTAACACCGGGGTCGCTGCACCAGAGCAGCCAGGGCTCAGTCCAGCAGTGCTGTCAGTGCTGTCTGTGCTGGTTTAACCCCAAAATCGCTGCACCAGCAGCAGCTGGGGCTCAGTCCAGCAGTGCTGTCAGTGCTGTCAGTGCTGTCTGTGCTGTCAGTGCTGGTTTAACCCCAAAGTCACTGCAGGGGAGGCACCAGCAGCAGCCGGGGCTCAGTGCTGTCAGTCCAGCAGTGCTGTCAGTGCTGTCAGTGCTGTCTGTGCTGGTTTAACCCCAAAATCGCTGCACCAGCAGCAGCTGGGGCTCAGTCCAGCAGTGCTGTCAGTGCTGTCTGTGCTGGTTTAACCCCAAAATCGCTGCACCAGCAGCAGCCGGGGCTCCTCACGGGAGGGAGGCTCGGGCAGGGAACTGCAGCTCCAGCTCCTGCCCGGTTTTTTAACCCCGTGTGTAAATAAGAGCTCTTTGTTTCTAGGACTTGTAAGTAGACCTTGAAAATCGCCTTAATTTCAAACGAACACACCTTGGATGCAACTGTCAGAGTTAGGGAGCCTCGGGCTGGGAGAAAGGCAGGTTTGATCCCTGCGGAGAGGGACGGGGCAGGGGTGGCCCCTGGGAGTGCTGGGTGTGACAGGACGGGCTCCAGCTGTGGCTGGGGAGAAGCTGCCTCTCATCCCGGCCTGTGAGAGCCAGGGGTTCCAGCAGCTCCTGCCTCGCCTTCCCCCAGGGGATCCTTTCATGTGGGAGCTGCCCCAGAGGATTCCCCCCTTCTCACTCCTCCAAATTCCACTTTTTGTGGCATCAGGCTGATCTGGAAGCCAACCCAGAGGGAAGCGTGGAGCAGATCCCGAGTGTTCCCAGAACAAATCATCTGCTTTTATTCCAAATGTAACAGCCCTGTGCTCATTCCAGTGTTTGGGGCTCCCTCCCCACAGGTGGGAGCAGAAAGGGAAAACCATCACTTAGTAAGAAACAAAAGACAAAAAAACCAAGGAGGAAATGGTGTTAATTGCTCTCATTGCTGCGTTTGGTTGCAGTGGTGGTGGAGCTGCCCAGGGGTGCCTGTCCCACCCTCCCTCCTGACCCCCCTCCCTCCCTCCCTCCGTGTTTTTCTCTCTCCATAAGGAATTAACCCCAATTCCCAAGCTAGACTGTTGCATTTGCCAATACAATGGGGAAGAGCAGGAATAAACCCTCGGTGGTGCACCCAAAACTGTGATTCTGTTTCCCAGCAGAGCCCAGCCCTGGCGCTGGGGCTGGGGAGGCTCCGTTCCCTGTACATAGATCCCTTCCCTGGGCATGCGTGACCCGGCCCGGCTCCCGCGGCTTCTGCATGGCAGGGAGCGCCTGGCAGCCCCCTGTGCCCCCAGGCTGGGCTGATCCCTCATTTGCCAGAGGGGAAAACCTCCCCAGGATGGGCCGGAATCGCCCTGGAGCCGTCGGGCGCCTTCCGTGGCCTCCGGGGAGGTTCCGTGGGTTCATTTGGTGAATTTGGTTTAGGAGAGCTCATGGGTGAGCCTTCAGCTCAGAGGGAGGTTGGGTTTGATGGTCCTGGAGGTCTTTTCCAACCCTGATTTGGTCGGTCCTTCCCAACCTTGGTTCCAGAATTCTTTTCCAACCTTGATTTGGTTTTTCTTCTCCCACCTTGATTCGGTCATTCTTTTCCAACCCTAATTTGGTGATTCTCTTCCAAACTTGAGTCAGGTTCTCTTCCAAACTTGATTCAGGTTCTTTTCCAGCCTTAATTCAGTGATTCTTTTCCAACCCTGATTCAGTGGCTCTGTCCCAACCTCAATTCCACGATTCCAAGAGCAAAAGCTGCCCTGAGTTTATCTAAAAGCAGTTTACCTAAATTTCCCTCAAAAACAAACCCTTGGACCTAAAACCTCGGATTTCTGCCAAAACAACAATTAAGGCTTGAGCTTAATTTCCTTAATTCCCTTAAGGAAAGGCCCTGGAAACCCCCTCTGGACAGGAAGGAAGCAGGAAGGCCCCTCCTCCCCCCGCAGATCCCGACCTTGGCTGTTTTTTTTCGGGAGAAACCCCAAAACCAGCGCGTTTATTCCTCGGAGCAACGGCGCCCCCGTCACTGTGATGGCAATGTGAAAGCGCAGGTAGCCTTTGTTACGTGTGTCTGTCCTTTTTAAAAAACAACCAGGAAAAAGAAAAAAAACCCAAAAAAACCTCCCTCCCTCTTAGAATTAAACTTTGTAGTGTTCCTGTTCTTTGTATTTTGAGTTGCATCTTATTTATACGGCGCAGTGTAGGCATGGATTGCATGTCGGTTTTCTATGCGGGCACCACGACATTCTGACTGTGTATTATAAATCATTTTTACCTTTTTAAACAGGGAAAAACAAAAAAAAAAAAAACCAACAAAACAAACAAAAAAAAATAACAACAACACAACAGAATCATTGTGTGGAATTTCTATACTGCAAAGCCAAACACTACATGGAGTCCTCTCTTGGTTTGTGTTATTTATTTTCCGAGGCGGTTGGGGCGGGCGGGGGGCGGGCGGAGCCGTGTGTGCGTTGCCTTATGTGGGCTTGACCAATTTTATCAAAATAAAGGCCTGAAGGGGTAAAATCCGCTGGCTCTTGTCTTCAGGGGGTGGAGGGGTGGGAGGGGGAAAGCGTGGAAAAAGGGAGAGAACCCGTGGAAAAAAGGGAGAGAATCCTGTGGAAAAAAGGGAGAGAATCCTGTGGAAAAAAGGGAGAGAATCCATGGAAAAAAAGGGAGAGAACCCATGGAAAAAAGGGAGAGAATCCTGTGGAAAAAAAGGAGAAGCTTGAATTGTTGTTCCAGCAAGAAGCAGGCAGGGCAGGGCTGAGGAGAGCGGGGTTCTTGAGGAGAAGGTGCCTCCATGCTTTGGCAATTCCAAGAAAATTCCCAATCCAGCCCAGGCTCTCTCAGCCCCATTGAGGCCTGGAGGGTTCCTCCCTTCCACATCTGCAAGGGAAAAGCTTCAGAAGAGTGGAGAGAACACAGACCTGACCAAGGAGAAATCTAGAATTTATTATCCAGCATTCCAAGTGTTTATTTTCCAACATTCCAGAACAAAGATACTCTCCTTAAAGTGCTTTTTCATTCATTAAAATGAGCAACCGAGGCCGCTCCTCACGTCCCTCTCAGACTCATGCCGAGTTTGCTTTGCAGCAGGTCTTGAAAAGGAAAACAACATTCACACTCAGGAGGAGCCTCGGAGCAGGGAGCAGATTCCTGGGAATCATCCACGCCCAAGGAACTCCAACCATCCCAGCTGCTGCAGGGAGCTCCCAGCGCGGCCCGAGCGGCAGCTCGGGCTCCTGGTCACACTCCCTGTCTCCACCTCGGCCCTTCCCAGAGGATCTGTGTAACATTTTCAGGGATTTGCTGTGGGGAAGGGGAGCTGGAGGCGGTGAGGGCGGGGTGGGAGGCGCTGACAGCGCTTGGGGCGGGATTCCAGAGCGGGAGGCGAGCGCGGCTGGGGCGGGAGGCGCTGCGGGGATCAGTCCTGCTGGAACCGGAACGTCTCGTAGTCCTCTGGGATGGTGTCTGAGGGGTAAAGCAAGCAGAGATCAGGGGCAGGAACAGCAGGGAAAGCGGCCTCGGGAAGAGAATTCCCGGTTTGCCCTTCCCGACTCACCGTTGCAGCGGTAGCGGAGGTTGGACCAGATGATGTTCTCCTGGGAGAAGCAGAAGACCCCGAGGCGTCCCCCTCTCATGGTGGTGTCCAGGACAACCCCAGTGTCTGCCACGACCTCGGGGCCCTCATAGAACCGAGCCCTGGTGGGGAGCAAGGCAGGGAATGGCAGGAGCTGCCCGGCCTCGGGGCTGCTCCATCCCCGGGATGCAGCACAGGGGTCCCTGCCCATGGCCGAGCTCCCTTCCAGAACGTTCTGGGGCTCCCTGGGGCTGATTTCCCTGCTGGGGATGGTCCTGGCCGAGCCTCACCTGATGTAGCCGACCTGGGGCCGGTGCTGCAGGAACCAGCGGTAGGAGGTCTTGTCCTTCCAGCCCGAGTTCCTGGGGTCCTTCCAGAGCAGCTTCACCTGGTCCGTGGTGTCTCCCGTGTGCCACAGGGAATTCCGCAGGTACTCCCCAGGGCCCGTTTTGGATTTCACTGCCTGGGACAGAGGAGAGCCTGCTCAAGGTGTGCACAGAGGATTCCACACAGCTGCTGATCCCGAGGCAAAATTCCAGCAGGGAATTCCTTCTGCAGCATTCCTGTACCTTCAGCTGAATGCCAGGCTCTGCCACTGCCCGGAAGGGGTTGGCCTGCCAGTAGGTCTGTTCCATCTGCTTCCACATCACCACGTAGAAGCTGGAGCTGTCCTGGTAGCCAAAGATGAACCCGGCGTAGTCGTCGTCCGTGGCCGTGTTGACGTGGAAGGTGCCCTCGAAGTCCACCCCGTTAAAGGCTGTGTACCCTGTCAGGGGCAGCAGAACAGAGCCAGGGTTCAGCTGGGGAGGTGGATTTTGCCAGGGGGAATCTGGACTCTGTGCACTACAGGAAACAGGGGATGGACTCATGGAGCAGTGGCTGATCAAAGCTGCAGCGAGTGATGATTTCCCAAAGGGAGAAGGGAAATTCCTCACCTACAGCCAGGCCAGGGTCGCTGTTCATGGTCTGGACAATCTCCATGCCCTGAGAAAGAGAAATTGTGACTCTTTAGTGCAGTTCCAGACACACCAAACTCCCTCTTGTGCTTCTCCAGGGCTGGGACTCGGGGATTTGGGCACTGCAGAACCACGGAGCCTTTGAGGGAAACCCCCCCAGGACTGTTCCCAGCTGGAGCCCTCCCCACCTGGTTGAGGACGATCCAGTTGGGGTCAATCTGAGCGTCCCCCTCGGGGTCCAGCACCACGGTCTGGAAGGCCCTGAAGTCCGTGAGCGTCACCTCGGCGTTCTCGGGGCAGACGTCGATCCTGTCGATCACCATGTCCCTGTCGAAGTCATCCTCACACAGGTTCCCCACGCCGTCCCCTGGGCACGAGGAGGAGGAGGAGGAGGAAGGAGCCTGGAGCAGCAGCTCCTGCCCTGGGTTTGCTCAGCCTCGGGCACCACCAGGGGCAGCTGAGGGCACCGAGGGACTGGGGCACCCCAAGGAGCTGCAGAGAAACCCGGAGGCTTCTCCTGCTGGCAGAGAAACCCCTCAAAGCCCAGACACTTCTGGGAGAGAGAACCTGACCCAAACATGGCCCCAAACCTGATCCCAAACCTGACCCCAAACACGGCTCCAAACCTGAGCCAGTGCTGGCACTGTGGACACCTGCAGCGTCCCAGGCCTGGCACGAGTCAGTCCCAACAAAACCCCAACTCCTGCGGCTTCCAGAGCCTGGAGTGACCCCAGGGACCCCAAAGGACCCATCCCTCCCTCCCTCCCTCCCTCCCTCCCTCCCTCCCTCACCATCCGAGTCCTCCTGGCCGGGGTTGGGCACCAGCCTGCAGTTGTCGGGGCCGGGGGGTCTGAAGTCGGGGATGCCATCATCATCATCATCCTCGTCACACTCGTCCCCCAGCCCGTCCCCGTCCGTGTCCACCTGGGAGCTGTTGGGCACCATGGGGCAGTTGTCCCTCGAGTCCTGGTGCCCGTCCCCGTCGCTGTGGGAGAAGGGACAGGGGCAGGGACAGGGGCAGGGACAGACACAGGGACAGGGACACAGACACAGGGGCAGACAAAGGGACAGGGACAGACACAGGGACACGGACACGTCACCCACGGCCACCAGCACCGGGAGCTGCCCCGGGGCTGGGGCTGCAGCTGCATCTGTGACTTCAGCCCAGGAATGGGTCAGGAATGTCTGAGAGTCCCCAGGACGAGGGAAGAGCTGAGAATCTTGGCTCTGTGTCTCAGAAAGCTGATGTATCATTTTATTATATTTTATACTATATTATATATCACATATTACATTAATTATATTATATTAATTTACTATATTATATTAATTATACTATATTATACTATACTACATTACATTACATTATATATGCTATACTAAAACTACACTGAATAAAGAGAAAAGAGACATCAGAAGGCTGGAAAAGAATGAATAATAAAATCTTGTGACTGAGCAGAGAGTCTGACACAGCTGGCTGTGATTGGCCATTAATTAACAACAATCCACAGGAGACCAATCAAAGCTGCACCTGTTGCTAAACCATCTCCAGAGCACATTCTAAGCCATCAGATAATTATTGTTCACATTTCTTTTCTGAGGCTTCTCAGGAGAAAAATCCTAGTGGAAGGATTTTCCTAAAGTATGTCAGTGACATTCCTGCTGGAAATGGAGCTCTGGGAGTGCTCCTTCCTTCCAGTGGTCGCTTTTTGTGAGGTCTAAAGAAAATTTCACCTCTAAACCTCCATTTTTTATAGGATAAGGCCAAGCCAGGTTTTCACAGCCTTTTGGTCCCTTCCATCCCAGGATTTCATGCAAATAATTAGAATTTTTAATTTCTGCAGCTCACCTGTCTTGGTTGGTGTCACATTCGTCTCCCACCAGATCGTGGTCAGTGTCTTTCTAGAAAAATAAAGGAAGAATAATTTAAATTTTCCAGAGGAAAAGGCAAGGGAGAGAACAGAGAGCTGCCAACAGCAGGAGACTTCCTGTGGGATGTTTTGGGGGGATCCTGAGGAATTCCAGCAGTGGGGCAGGGCAGGGAGGGAGAGCCCAGAGTGCCCAATTTCCCTCTGTGCCCCAGGAGGGCACAGCTGGAACCGAGCCCTGGCCTGGCCGGCGACAGGAGGGGCTCAGCCTGGGCCCGTACCTGGTCAGGGTTGCTGAGCGTGGGGCAGCTGTCACAGGCGTCCCCCACGCCGTCCCCGTCCCCGTCCCTCTGGTCAGGGTTGGGAACTCTCCTGCAGTTGTCCACGGTGTTCTTGATCCCTGCAAAACAGGGCAGAGTGCACCCACAAAGACCCAGGCTAAAGGAAGGATTTCAGCATTGGGGGTTTCAGTGTTTGCTGGCATCCCTGGCTGCTGGGAGCAGCTTTTGTGCACTCTGTGATCAGCTCAGGTTCCAAAGCCAGCCAGGCTTGTGTCCACCCCAGGGAACTCCCCCAGCCTCGAGCCAGGAGCTGCTGCCAGCTCAGATATTCCCAAATTTCTTCCTTAAAATGTAGCACAAGGCAGTCAGGACGAGGCTGGCTGGGACTGTGTGTCACTGTCACCTTTTCTGAAAAACCCCTTTGCCAGGATTTCTTCTCCTGGGAAGCTGAGAAGCCTCGGAGAAAAAGGAAAACAATAATAATCTGATTGCTTCTCTTGTGTTCTGCTGCTTTGGAACGTGGCTGGAGATTGTTTGATTGGTTTCATGTGAATTGTTTTAACTTAATGACCAATCAGGGTCAGGCTGTGTTGGGACTCTGGAGGGAGTTATGAGGTTTTGTTACCATTCTTGTTAAGCCTTCTGGCTCTATCTTTTCTCTATTCTTTAGTATAGTTTTAGTATAGCATTCTTTAATATACTATAATAAATATACTATAATAAATATACTATAATAAATATACTATAATAAATATACTATAATAAATATACTATAATATAATATAATATAATATAATATAATATAATAATAAATGAGCCTTCTAAGAACATGGAGTCAGATTCATCATTTCCTCCCTTCCACGGGGGACCCTGAAAAAACCACGACTGTGGCCAATAAAAATGAAAATAAACCCAAGGGGGAGCAGCACCGGTGAGAGGCTGAGCTCGGGGACACGGGGACCGCCCTGTCTGTCCCCAGAGGCCGAGCTGGGGTGACACAAACATATTATCTCAGTATTATCTCCATTTTCCTGGCCCAGCCCGGGGCAGCCGGCTCTCACCGTCCCCGTCCATGTCCTCGTCGCACTCGTCGCCCCTGCCGTCGCCATCGATGTCCCTCTGGTCGTTGTTCTTCACCTGCCGGCAGTTGTCACACGCGTCCCCGAAGTTGTCCTTGTCGGCGTTGCGCTGGTCCGTGTTCCTGGTGTACACGCAGTTGTCCTGCAGGGACAGGGGACACGGGCTGGGGACACCGGCGCCTCCTGCGCTGTCCCAGCGGGGCCGGCTGAGCACGGGCCCTGAGCGACCTCGGGGCTGCAGCCTGGTCTGGGGTCCTCAGAGCCCCCAGGGCGAGGCCACGCTGGGACCCCTGAACTGCCACTGGAACCCCTGAATTCACACTGGGACCCCTGAACTCACACTGGGACCCCTGCACTCCACTGGGACCCCTGAATTCAAACTGGGACCCCTGAACTCCACTGGGACCCTTGAATTCACACTGGGACCCCTGAACTGCCACTGAGATCTCTGAACTCCCACTGGGACCCCTGAATTCACACTGGGACTTCTGAATTCACACTGGGACCCCTGAATTCAAACTGGGACCCCTGAATTCACACTGAGATCTCTGAACTCCCACTGGGACCCCTAAATTCCCACTGGGACCCCTGAGTTCCTACTGGAACCCCTAAATTCCCACTGGGATCCCTGAACTCCCACTGGAACCCCTAAATCCCCACTGGAACCCCCGAATCCCCACTGGGCACCCCTAAATCCCCACGGCGACCCCTGAACTCCCACTGGGACCCCCGAATCCCCACCGGGACCCCCGAATCCCCACCGCAGGTGCCGCTGCCCCGCAGGAGCCGCCGGGGGCAGCAGAGCCCGGACCTCGGCGTTGGGGATCCCGTCCCCGTCGGCGTCGTCGTCGCAGGCGTCCCCGATGCCGTCCCGGTCCGCGTCCTCCTGGCCCGAGTTGGGCACGGTCACGCAGTTGTCCTGCAGGACAGAGGCTCGGCAATGTGGGACTGCAGCCAGCCCGGGCTCCGCAGCTCTCGGCAGCACGCAGGGCCCGGCCTGCGGGGAGACTGGGCTGAAATCCCCGGATTTCCTGCCCACCTTGCGGCAGTTCTTGTCGGAGCAGCGCTGCTTCTCGTCGGGGACGCCGTCGATGTCCGTGTCCTTGCCGCACACGTAGCCGTTCCCTGCCCAGCCCACGAGGCACTGCAAGGGGCACACACACAGAGTCAGCCCCAAAACCCCGGGGTTTGCCAGGGACACGGCACGGAACGCTGCCGATCCGGGATGTGAAACCCTACAGGGAAATAACGCCCGGGGGAAACATTTCTGGGATTTCACCAGCTCGGACCGGGCCCTCGGCGCTGCTGCAGCACAAGCTGGCCCTGAGGAGGAGCAGAGCTCGGCTCTGAGGCTGCCGATCCTGGATCCCGATTCCCTGGATCCTCCCTGCTCAGCCCAGGGAATCCCGCACCCGACAGGTTCGCAGCGCTCCAGGGAAAACCAAAACCCCAAAAAGCGGGAAGGAGCAGCCCAGGGAGGAGCTCGGGGGACGAGCAGGGATGGTTCGGGAAGGGCGATCCCCAGGAGAGGGCAGTGGCAGACCCGGGAGAGGAGCGCGGGACGAGGAACGAGGAGCGAGCAGACCGACCCCAGTCCCAGGGAGTTTGGGATCAGACCGACCCCAGTCCAAGGGAGTTTGGGATCACACCCGACCCCAATCCCAGGGAGTTCGGGATCAGACCCGAGCCCAGTGTGGGCAGGGCGGGATCAGACCCCAGTCCCTACAGGGTGGCACCAGACCCCATTCTCTATAGGGTGGCACCAGACCCCGGTGTCCCTAGCGGTGCCCGCGGCGGTGCCCGCACCTGGCAGGACAGCGAGCCGTCCCTCTCCACAATGCACTCGGCTTTCTCGTGGCACGGGCTGATCTCGCCGTTGGGGCAGCGCCGAGCCCCGGTCGCCGTGGGGCTCCGGCAGCCGCTGATCTGATCCCCCACAAAGCCCGGCTTGCAGGCCCCGCACTTGTAGGATCCCTGCGGGGGGAACGGGAGCGGGAACTCGAGCGGGAATCCCGGAAAATCCCGGAAAATCCCTGCTCGGGATTCGCCTTTACCCTCCCGGTGAGGCCCTTCCTTGGGCCACCTGCCCTGCCCCGGGGCCTGGCCTGGGGCACTGCCAGGGATCCAGGGCAGCCACAGCTGCTCTGGGAATCCCACCCCATTCCCTCCCCACCCTCCCAGCCAGGAACCCCTTCCCAATATCCCACCCAAATCTCCCTTTTCCCACTTTAAATCCATTCCCTGGCCCCTGTCCCTCCAGGCCTTGTCCCCAGTCCCTCTGCAGCTCTCCTGGAGCCCCTTCAGGCCCTGCCAGGGGCTCTGAGCTCTCCCTGGCGCCTTCTCCTCTCCAGGTGAGCACCCCCAGCTCTGCCAGCCTGGCTCCAGGGGGGCTCCAGCCCTGGGACCCTCCCCAAATCCCTGAGGATTTACCCGAGTGTTGATGCAGATGGAGTTTGGGACACAATTCCTGGCAGCTCCAGTCTCACACTCGTTGATGTCGGTGCACACCTGCCCAGGGAGAACAGGACCCACCTTCACCTTCACCCCAGGGAGAACAGGACCCACCTTCACCTTCACCCCATCCCACCCCAAATCCCAGCACTGGAGCGGGGCCAGAGCAGAAGCAGAGCCCTGGCACACCTCACTAGGCCAGGACTAGCGAGTGCTCCTGCTGGCACCTCACTAGGCCAGGACTAATCAGTGCTCCTGCTGACACCTCACTAGGCCAGGACTAATCAGTGTTCCTGCTGACAAGCTTGAGGCAGGTCCCAGCAGGGCTCCAGACCCCCCTCCAGAGTCAGCAGAGGCTCCAGCCTGGGAACAGAGCTGAGCTCTGAGCTGAGCTGCTGCAATATCCTCACTGTGGAGGGGCTCCATGGATTTGGAAGCTCAATGGCTGCATCCCACGACCAGCCCCAAATTCCCAGAGCTAGATGTGGGATAATAACCCCTAAAAACCCCAATCATCCCAGGCTGTTGGGATTTTTAATCTGCCTGGAGCTGTCAGAGAAGCCGGGAGGGGGTGGCAGCAGCTGCAGGAACTTTTCTGTGTCCCAGCAGGAAGGATTCCCATCCCCATCCCCATCCAATCCCATTCCCATCCCCATTCCCACTCCCATTCCCGTTCCCAGCCCTGTTCCCATCCCCAGGGTGGCCCCACAGCCCCAGAGGAGCTGGGATGCTCTGCCCAGCCCCAGTTTGGCACAGGGGAGGTGGCTCTGGGCACTCTCCTCTCCCTGCATTCCCACCTGGAATCCATGGAATTGTGGGATCCCAAAACAGTTTGGGTCGGGAGGGGCCTTTAACCGCCCCATCCCCACCCCCAGGGACACCTTCCACTGTCCCAGGCTGCTCCAGGCTGGCCCAGGACCCTCCCAGGGATGGGAATTCCCTCCCAGCCCCTCTCCACCCTCCCTTCCATCCCGGGGAGCCATCACCTCGAGTTCCCCTCCTGTTTCCTCACATTCCCAGCTGCAGAGGGGGGAGCATTGCCAGCTGCTGGGGGACACAGGTCCCCGAGGCCCTCACCTGCTTGTTGGCCCTGGCAAAGGCCATTCCCACCCCTTCCAGCAGCTGCCCGGTGAAGCCGGGCGGGCAGGGGTCGCAGCGGAAGCCGGGGTTGGTGTTAATGCACTGGACTTTCGGGAAGCAGGGGTTGGCATTGCACTGAAACAACACACAGGGTGCCCAGGGCTGTGCCAGGGGGCAGCTCCAGCCCTGGGGCACCTCCAGCTCGTGGGGTTTTAGTCTGGAGGAAGAAGACAAAAGGGCACAGAAGTTCCTCAGAGGGCTCCCCCAGCCCAGCGTGCCCTGGGCTGCAACAGAACAAAGTCAGAGCCATTGGAGCTCTGACTCCCCTCAGGTGGCACCAGAGCCCTGGCACGGAGCTGCTCTTGCTTCACCTTTTCCTTCCTGGAATCCTCGGGGGCCTGGACAATTCCCCACCCTGGCCCTGAAACACAACTCGAGTTGTTTGTTCACCACTCTTTCCTTCCAGAATTGCTCCGAATGCTTTGCTTCCTCCAACACTTCATTATTTTTCCCTGGATTTTTATGCTCTGTCCTGGCAGATGCCTCACAGGAATACAGTGGACCCCCATATTTTGGGCTGACAATCCCAAAATCTGCCATGGAGCCTTCAGCAGGTTTTTAAATTGAAATGCAATCGAGGCTGTGCGAGAGTGGGATAATCAAGTTCGTGGTTTGGGAAGCACAGAGCTCAGGAGCCCTACAAAATAATCCACGGATGAGCAGAGCTTTGCACACACACAGAGCTTAAAATTGGTGGAATGCCACATTTCCTAAAAAAAAATTTCCTAAAAATAATACACAGTATCTGCCCAGCAAGGTTTGATTTAAGGGCAGAAACAAAGCCCTGTGGCTGAGATTTGCTGTTTCCAGGATTATCTGGGAACTGTTTGATCCCATTCCACACTCAATAAATCTTATCTCCAACAGCTCCTCAGCAAAGGAGGCGGCTCTGGTGTTCCAAACTCCCCTCCCTGTGTGGCACAAACCTCAGGATTTATTTTGTTGGGACTGGGCTGGCCCTAAACCCTCCCTGGGGAGGGCCAGGCACAGAATTCCAGAGCCTGCAGGAATTCCAGCATGTGCCAGGCATGGAACTGCAGCTCCTGCAGGAAATCCAGAGTGTGCCAGGCACAGAATTCCAGAGTCTGCAGGAATTCCAGCGTGTGCCAGGCACAGAACTGCAGCTCCTGCAGGAATCCCAGCGTGTGCCAGGCACGGAACTGCAGCTCCTGCAGGGATCCCAGAGTGTGCCAGGCACAGAACTGCAGCTCCTGCAGGAATTGCAGCGTGTGCCAGGCACAGAATTCCAGAGTCTGCAGGAATCCCAGCATGTGCCAGGCACGGAACTGCAGCTCCTGCAGGAAATTCAGAGTGTGCTGGGCACGGAACTGCAGCTCCTGCAGGAATTCCAGCGTGTGCCAGGCATGGAACTGCAGCTCCCGCAGGAATTGCAGCTCCTGCAGGGATTCCAGCATGTGCTGGGCACAGAACTGCAGCTCCTGCAGGGATCCCAGGCATGGAATTGCATCTCTTGCAGGGATCCCAGCGTGTGCCAAGCACGGAACTGCAGCTCCTGCAGGAATTGCATCTCCTGCAGGGATCCCAGCATGTGCCAGGCACGGAGCTGCAGCTCCAGCAGGGATCCCAGGCACAGAGTTGCAGCTCCCGCAGCTCCTGCAGGGATCCCTGCCCCGAGGCAGCTCCAGGGCCGTGCTGCCCGTTGTTCCCGGTGCTCCCTCCCTCCCTCCCTCTCCCCGGCCCGGCTCTGCTCACCTCGTTGATGTCGGAGCAGTGGGTGCCGTTGCCGGAGTAGCCGGCGGGGCAGGGCCCGCAGCGGAAGCCGCCGCCGCTCTCGGTGCAGGGCACGCCCGGGAAGCAGGGGTTGGGCACACAGCGGCTGAACTGGGTCACGGTGACCACAGGGCCGGTCACCTCCGGCCGCATGCCTGGGGACAGCAGCGCGTGAGCACAGCGCCCCGGAGCCACCGAACAGCCTGGGGCGTCCCAGAGCCACCATGGGTGTCCCAGAGCCACCACGGGGCGTCCCAGAGCCACCACGGGGTGTCCCAGAGCCACCATGGGCGTCCCAGAGCCACCATGGGTGTCCCAGAGCCACCATGGCATGTCCCAGAGCCACCATGGGTGTCCCAGAGCCACCACGGGGTGTCCCACAGCCACCATGGCGTGTCCCAGAGCCACCACGGGTGTCCCAGAGCCACCACGGGGCGTCCCAAAGCCACCATGGGTGTCCCAGAGCCACTATGGGGTGTCCCAGAGCCACCATGGGGTGTCCCAGAGCCACCATGGGGTGTCCCAAAGCCACCAGCTCAGCTCTGGGGTGTCCCAGAGCCACCAGCCCAGCTCAGAGGCAGGGAGGCAGAAGCAAAGGCTGGGGTGAAGGGGTGTGAGGACCAGGACCAACTGTGATGAGCAGGAATAACTAACTGTGCTGAGCAGGCCTGACTGTGCTGAGCAGGCCTGACCGTGGTGACCAGGACTAACTAACTGGGCTGACCAGGCCTGACCGTGGTGACCAGGCCTGACTGGGATCACCAGGCCTGACTGCTCCAGGCTGGGATTTGCCCCTGGTGGGCAGCAGAGGGCACAGGGGGCACACAGGGGGCACACAGGGGGCACACAGGGGGCACACAGGGGGCACACAGGGGGCACACAGGGGGCACACAGGGGGCACAGCTGCACTCACCGCAGGCATCGCACTCCATGACCGTGTTCTTCAGGAACGTGATCTCCTTGATCTGCAGGGCAACAGCAGCGGGGCTGAGCCGGGGCCAGGAGCCCGGCCAGCGAAATCAATCAACAATAAATAAATAACAACAACAACAACCTTTTTTGAAGGTTTTTCTCACCTTGAAGTTTTTCCCAGCTTAAAGGTTTTTCTCACCTTGAAGATTTCCCCAACCAAATTGAAAGTTTTTTCATCTGGAATTATTTCCCAATTTAAAGGTTTTTTCAACTGGAATTTTTTCCCCAATTTAAACGTTTTTTTCCACCTTGAAGCTTCTCCCAGCTTGAGAGTTTTTCCCCAATTATCTCCCAATTACTAAACCACCTCTGGACTCTGCTCTGCAGCAATGATCTGCTCACTCTACACAGGGAGCAGAGAATTCCCAGACCTCAGGAAATCTGGAATTAGGCCCAGGCAGGATCTCCCCAATTCCAGAGCAAGCAGAGAATTCCCAGACCTCAGGAAATCTGGAATTTTTCACCCACCTGCTGCTTCAACAAATCCCGAACTTCCAGCAGCACCCGGTTGGTTTCCCTCATTTCTTGCAGCATTTCTGGCCCAACTTCTCCTCCTCCTAAAAAAACCCCAAAATGGTTGGGAAAATCCCAGAATATCCCAGGTTTATAATCCAGCTGATTATAAACCTGGGAAGGTTTATATTCATATGTATTATATGAATACATATATATTTATTGAATGTATTTATATGAAATACATTAATATATATGAAAACATGAATATATTAGAGCATATTTACATATTAATATATTTATACAAATATATCGACATGAAAATATAATCTATATGAAAATATAGTATTATTCATATATTATTGCATCAATGATAATGATATCAATAATATTTAATTATTACTCACATAATATTTTATATTGTATTCATTATAATAGTGTGAATAATAATGATAGGAATAATATTTTAGTTGTTATTCCTGTAATATTTTCTATTACATGAATAATAATTATATATAATATATATAATACATTATATATATATAATATAATTATATATATATAATTTTATATATATATATATATATATATATATATAAAAATAAAATTGCTATATTATATTCTGTATATATTATAGAATATAATAACTCTATGGATAAGATTGATTTATTATTATATGAATAATTTAACGTTCAGGCTCCACCCCGAGGAGTTCCTGGCTGGAATCTGGGAGCAGCCCCGGGCTGGCACAGCAGGGTCTGCTCTGGCACCAGCCCTGAGCTCCTGGGAATGCTGCCCCTCTCACCACCCCTGCTCCATGGAAATCCTGGGAATGCTGCCCCTCTCACCACCCCTGCTCCCCTGGAATTCCTGGGAATGCTGCCCCTCTCACCACCCCTGCTCCATGGAATTCCTGGGAATGCTGCCCCTCTCACCACCCCTGCTCCATGGAATTCCTGGGAATGCTGCCCCTCTCACCACCCCTGTTCCATGGAATTCCTGGGAATGCTGCCCCTCTCACCACCCCTGCTCCCAGGGCATTCCCAGAGCTCCTTTCCCTCTCCCCCATGGAATTCCTGGGAATGCTGCCCCTCTCACCACCCCTGTTCCATGGAATTCCCGGAGCTCCTTTGCCTCTCCCCTGCTCCCATGGAATTCCCGGAGCTCCTCTCCCTCTCCCCTGCTCCCATGGAATTCCCGGAGCTCCTGTCCCTCTCACCTGCTCCCATGGAATTCCCGGAGCTCCTCTCCCTCTCCCCTGCTCCCATGGAATTCCCGGAGCTCCTGTCCCTCTCACCTGCTCCCAGGGCATTCCCGGGAATGCCGCGGCTCAGGGCGGGCTCCCTGCGGGCGGCGGCGCTTGGGAAGGGCCGGCTGGGATCTTGGGGACACAAAGGACAGGGGGGCTCAGCCAGGGAAAACCGGGAATGCTGCAGGGGGAGCTCCAGGGGAAACCGGGAATGCTGGAGGGTCAGGAGCTGCTCCAGGATAAATTGGGAATTCTGGAGGGTCAGGAGCTGCTCCAGGATAAATTTGGAATTCTGGAGGGTTGGGATCCTCTCCAGGGGAAACCGGGAATGCTGCAGGGTCAGGATGAGCTCCAGGGGAAACCGGGAATGCTGCAGGGTCAGGATGAGCTCCAGGGGAAATTGGGAATGCTGCAGGGTCAGGATGAGCTCCAGGGGAAACCGGGAATGCTGCAGGGTCAGGATGAGCTCCAGGATAAATTGGGAATGCTGCAGGGTCAGGATGAGCTCCAGGATAAATTGGGAATTCTGCAGGATCAGGATCCTCTCCAGGGGAAACCGGGAATGCTGCAGGATCAGGATGAGCTCCAGGGGAAATCGGGAATGCTGCAGGATCAGGATGAGCTCCAGGATAAATTGGGAATTCTGGAGGGTCAGGATGAGCTCCAGGGGAAATTGGGAATTCTGCAGGATCAGGATGAGCTCCAGGATAAATTGGGAATGCTGCAGGATCGGGATGAGCTCCAGGGGAAATTGGGAATGCTGCAGGATCGGGATGAGCTCCAGGGGAAACCGGGAATGCTGCAGGGTCAGGATGAGCTCCAGGATAAATTGGGAATGCTGCAGGATCGGGATGAGCTGCAGGGGAAACCGGGAATGCTGCAGGATCAGGATGAGCTCCAGGATAAATTGGGAATGCTGCAGGGTCGGGATGAGCTCCAGGGAAAATCGGGAATGCTGCAGGGTCGGGATGAGCTCCAGGGGAAACCGGGAATGCTGCAGGGTCAGGATGAGCTCCAGGGGAAATTGGGAATGCTGCAGGATCGGGATGAGCTCCAGGGGAAATTGGGAATGCTGCAGGATCAGGATGAGCTCCAGGGGAAATCGGGAATGCTGCAGGGTCAGGATGAGCTCCAGGATAAATTGGGAATGCTGCAGGATCGGGATGAGCTCCAGGATAAATCGGGAATGCTGCAGGGTCAGGATGAGCTCCAGGATAAATTGGGAATGCTGCAGGATCGGGATGAGCTCCAGGGGAAATCGGGAATGCTGCAGGGTCAGGATGAGCTCCAGGGGAAACCAGGAATGCTGCAGGATCGGGATGAGCTCCCGAGCCCAGCCAGGGAGGGATCCCCGCTGTTCCCTCCCGTTGGGATTTGGGGTCTGCAGGGCCCCTTTGGGATGGGGAGAAATCTGGGACGTGCCCGAGGGAGGGAGGGATGGAGCTGGTGCTGCTGGAATTTGGGATTTTTTGGGATAATTTGGGAGTGAAAAGGTCACTGGACACAGAGTTTAAGGGAGGGATTCTCCCAAAATCCCAGTGTCAAACTCCTCGTTGGCCATGAGGATGCACAACCTGGGTTTCTCTGGGTCTTTTCTAGAATTTCTCATTTTATTCCTAGAATTTCTCTATTTTTCTCTCTAATTTCTCAAATTTTCCTATAATTTATCATTTTCCCCCCAGAGCGTCTCATTTTTTTCTATAATTTCTCTATTTTCCCCTATTTCTCCATTTTCCCTACAATTTCTCAATTTTTCCCATAATTTCTCATTTCCCCCATAATTTCTCAATTTTTCTATAATTTATCTATTTTCCCCCTATAATTTCTCAATTTCCCCCTATAATTTCTCAATTTCCCCCCTATAATTTCTTTTATTCCTCTAATTTCTCCATTCCCCCCTAGTTTCTCTAATTTTTTCCCATAATTTCTCTCTTTTTTCCCAGATTTGCCAATCCCCTAACAGAAACCACCCCTTACCTACAGCGAAGAGAAAACCAGGAATAAATCCCACAAAACCCTCTGTGTGTCCAGGGGAAAAATCAGCTGGAATTTGGGCTCTCCCTGAAGGGGAGAATTTCCCAGCACCGATTTCATAAAAATTCCTCATTTCCACAAGACAAACAAACCCAAAACCTCGTGGATCTTCCCCAAAAAAAATAAAATTTGGTGAATATTTGTGAGCTCTGCAGTAAATTTTGGATTGGGAATAACTTGGATTGCCAGAAATCCTCCTGGAGCTGAGAATTCCCCAAAAGCAGATTTGGAGAAGTGGAATTGGAACTTTCCTGGAGGGCAGGAAATCCAAGGATGTGGGATTATTAATTTCCTTTATTTTCCTTAAATAAAGTTTCACCTCTCAGGAGGAAAACTGGGTAAAAAATCCCATGGAACATTATTTACACAAAATTTTCCTACAAAATCCCCCTCAACATTTTCAGGCTCCAGCTGAAAAATCCTCCCTCTTTAGCCCCTTCCACCCCTCAGCATTTCAGAGCAGCCTAAAAAACCCTCAAAAAATCAGAATTGAGTCAGGATTAAAGTAGAGTTAAAGTGGAATTAAAGCAGAGTTAAATCAGGGTTAAAGTGGAGTTAAGGCAGAGTTAAAGCAGAATGAAATCAGCATTAAATCAGAGTTAAAGCAGAGTTAAATCAGCATTAAAGTGGAGTTAAAGTGGAGTTAAAGCAGAATGAAATCAACGTTAAATCAGAGTTAAATCAAAATGAAATCAGAGTTAAAGCGGATTTAAATCAGAATGAAATCAGGGTTAAATCCGAGTTAAATCAGGATTAAATCAGAATGAAATCAGAGTTAAAGAAGAGTTAAAGGAGAGTTAAATCAGAATGAAATCAGAGCTAAAGCAGAGTTAAACCTGAGTTAAATCCAAGTTAAATCAGAGTTAAATCCAAATGAAATCAGAGTTAAAGCAGACCTAAAGCAAAGCTAAATCAGAGTTAGAGCGGAGTTAAAGCAGAGCTAAATCAGAGTTAAACCAGAATGAAATCAGTGCTAAAGCAGAGTTAAAGAGGAGTTAAAGAAGAGTTAAATCAGGGTTAAATCAGAATGAAATCAGTGCTAAATCAGAGTTAAACCAGCATTACACCAGAGTTAAAGCGGAGTTAAACCATCGTTAAACCATCACTAAACCATCACCAAGCCATGGTTAAGCCGTGACCTCACCGATCCTCCTCTGCTGGCCCCAGGAGCCGGGGCAGGCGAGCGGCAGCAGCAGCAGCGCCAGCAGGGCCGGGGCCATCTCGGGGCTCCGCGGGGGCCGCGCCTCTGCCCCGCTCCCCACGCGGGGCCGCTCTTTATGGCCGTCCGTCCGTCCGTCCCTCCGTCTGTCTGTCCGTCCCTCCGTCTGTCCGTCCGTCCCTCCGCCCGTCTGTCCGTCCGTCCCTCCGTCTGTCCGTCCCTCCGTCCGTCCGCCCGTCCTGCCCCCGGCCCCGCGCGTCACCGCCGCCGCCGCTGCGCCAGCTGCAGAGTAAACACAGACGGCAGCAGCTCGGAGCACAGAAAATCCCGCTTTTTTTTGCCCTTTTTTTTTTTTTTTTGGTGTTAAAATAGGCAGGGGAAAAAAAAGCAAGCTGGAAGAGAAAACTGGAAGAAAATTCCCTTTTTTTTTTTTTTTTTTTTTTTGGTGCTAAAATAGGGAAGAAAAAAAAATCTGGAAGAAAAAACTGAAAGAAAATTCCAGGTTTTTTTTGTTTTGTTTTGTTTTTTTGTTTTGCTTTGGGATTTTGTTTTTTTGGGGTTTTTTTTGAATAATATTCCAGTTTGGTTTTTTTGCTTGTTTTTTTGTTTGTTTTTTGAGGGGGGGAGTGGGGTTAGGGTTACGGTTGGGGGGGGGGGGGGGCTGCTGGTTTTATGTGCTAAAATACGGAAGAAAATTCCAGATTTTTTTTTATTTATTTTGTGCTAAAGTAGGGAAGAAAATTCCTTTTCAATTTTTGTTCTGCTAAAGTAGGGAAGGAAATTGCAGATTTTTTTAAAGTCGTTATGATTTGTTTTTAGGGGGTTCGTTTCTCCCTCACAGACACGGGCAGGCGATGGCTCAGGGCTGCATTTCCCTCCTGACAGTGCCCTGAGGCACCCGGAGCGCCCCAGACCTGCAGAAAATGCAATTTAAACTCCCCGAGGGCAAATTTCCCCTCATGAAATCGGATCCGTTTCCATTTCCGGGGTTTTTATTCCCAAAGCCTTTTCCAGAGGGACTGGAGGGGGAGTTTAATTCCTGTAGGAAGGACAAAGTACAAAAATGAGGGGGGAAAAAAAGCAAATTTTACAGATTTTTCTGTAAAGCATCAGGAAGCACAGAGAGGAGTGAGAAATCCACCCTGGGAAAAACTGGGAAAAAAAACTTCCAAGAATTTCCCAAGAACATTCCAGGTGGGAGTCGGGAAGGGCCGGAACATTCCAGAAATGCAGCAAAACCCCAGGAGAGGCCCAGGGAAAGCCCAGGAAACAGAAGCTCAGTCTGGAAATAGTGGGAGCAGCAGGAATTTGGGATATTTACAGAAAATGGGATTTTTTTTTTCCTGCTTTTACCTCAGACCTCCCAAGCTCCAGGTCCCTGAGGGCGCTGCTGGGCCCACCCAGGCCCCAGAAGAAATAACAAAAAAATAAAAAGAAAAAATAAAATAAATAAAAATATATTAAAATAAAATTATGAATAAAAATAAACATAAATATAAATAAAATATGCAAAATTTTAAATAACTAATAAAAAGAAATAATAAAAATTCCCAGTTTGGTGTGCCAGGAATGTTGGAATTTATGGATTTTTTTACCCTTTTTTGCAGCAAATTCTCACTGGAAAGAAGGGAATTTGGACTCAGTGACATTTGGGTGGCTCTGCTGGCAAATCCAGCCAGGGGCTGAAGGGTTTGATCCTTGTGGGATCCAAATTTTGGAATTTCCCTGGGTTTAGAATTTCTGGATAAATCAACCCATTACTACTACTACTACTACTACTACTACTATTATTATTATTATTATTATTATTATTATTATTATTATTATTATTATTATTATTATTATTATTATTATTATTATTATTATTATTATTATTATATTTCTGCATAAACCAACCCATTATTATCATCATCATTATCACTATCATTATTATTATAATTTTGTTATTGTTATTAAGATAATGATGATGATTATCATGATGATGACAATGATTATTATTATTATTATTAAGAGAAAGGATTTTTTCCCACTAATATCCTGGGGGAAAATCTTCTTTCTAATCTGAATTTTCCAGTACCAAATGAGGAGTGAGTGATGGAGAAATTCCCTGTCCCACATCCCTGAGGGATCAAATCTTTCACCCAGAGCTGTGAAATTTGGGGCTCTTCCAGCTGGGGAGGGCAGGAGCAGCCAGAAAAATCTGAATTTTCACATTCCCACCCCAGGAAAGGCAGCACAGGGAAGGAAAAGCACATTTCTTATCACAGGCCTGACAGCACAGCAATAAAAAAGGGGTTTTGCCAAGAATTCGTGAAAAAATGAGGTTTTTTTAACTGTGGAAAAGTCATAAAAGTGCAGCAAGAAAAGAGATGTAACTGCCATGGAATGAAGAGTGGACAGGGTCACTGGGGAGAGACACAACTGAGCAAAAATCTGATTTTTGTGGGAGCAAAGAGAGCCCCAAATCCCCACTTTGCAGGAAAAACAACCCTGGGATCCTGGAACGGCTTGGCCTGGAAGGGCCATCCACAGATATCAGATTTGAGTTCAATTTTAATAGATTTTAAATTTATTGTTATGTTTTTATTGATCGAAGAAATCCACATTATAAATGAACATCCAAACCAAAGCCTTGACAGTTCAGTCTCCACTGAATTCTGGGTTTTTAAATTTCCAGTCCCCAGTGAATTTTGGGTTTCTAAATTTTCACTTTCCAGAGAATTCTGGGTTTTTAAGTTTTCCTCACCAGTTTGGGACAGGAGAAAGCACTTTGGGACTCTTTGTGCCCCCAGCCAGCCAGGGAGGGATTGTTTTTCATTTAAAGCCCATCAGGAGTCATCTGCTGCCTCTGGACAGAGCTCAGCACCTCCAAAATCCCATTTATAACTGATAATAATAATAATATATCTGTTATTCTATAGAATGGTGGTCACATGATAAATAAAAAGAATCCCATTTTCTATTATTTCCGTTATTTAACAGCCAAATCAACTCACCAAAACCACATTATTGACAAGTCAGGTCATTTCCTCTGGGACTTTTTGCTCCAGGCTGCAAGAAACCCCAATAATTGACATTAAAAGGAATTGAGGCTCCTGCATATCAAGGCAATATTTAATTTTTTTTCCCATTTTTATCCTTTTAGAAACCCAAAGGGATTTCTCTTTAGGCTGCAGCAGATTTTTGGGATCAGCTGTGGCCACGGAGAGCAGCAAAGTCCAGCAGAGCTGGTTGGGCTGAGCTCATTCCCACCTTTATTTTCCTTGGATTCTTCTGATTCCTTCCGAGATCCAGCCCTGAATTCCCTGCTCCAACCCAGGACAAGAACAGAGCAGAAAACTTTGCCTGTTCCTGTTGAAAAAACCCAAATTCAGGAGGAGCTGATGGGGAAACATCTCCCAGCCTGGAGCAGGATTATTATTGAAGCTTTACTGATTGAAAAAAAAATCAAAATATGCAGCAGAAAATGTTTTTTTGGGATTTTTTGGAGTCTGGGCTCCGCCAGGTTCGTTACCTTTTTTTCCTGCCTGGAGCTGACATCACAAACGAGAGGAGCTCACAAACAAACAGCAAAAAGTGAAGCTCCTGCTGCCTGCAAGTTGAAATATTTTCCATTTCTCTGTTTTGAACGGGCCTCTGCCAAGAGAAGGACAAAAGTCAGAAGGAGGAAAATGTTATTTTTCAGCCTTGGAAGGTCAGGGTCTAAAAATAAGTGGAAAACATCTCCGGCCTGGACTGGGCTGAGGAGGCTTCAGAGGGGCTCTGCTGCATTTCTGGGGTAAAAATCCAAATTACAGAGGAGACACAAGGGAAGCTCCAAAAAACTTCTCCTTTTCACCACAGTCTGGGCTTCCAAAGGTTTCTCTTCCCTGTTTCCAAATCCTTCCAGCCAGGAGGGGATGCAGGCAGTGACATTCCAAGTCTGAAGGGATTTTTAAGGCCATTCCTCCTTTTTTCATTCCCCAGGGACTCCAGGAGCAAATTTGTGCCTTCATTGTGGTTTGGAAAACTTGCAGTGCAATTCCATGCTTTCCTAGGATCCTGGAACCCAAACAAACCCCAATAAATCCCAATAAACACAAATAAATCCCAATAAACCTCAATAAATCTGAATAAACCCAAACAAACCCCAATAAACACAAATAAATCCCAATAAACCTCAATAAATCTGAATAAACCCCAATAAACCCCAATAAATCCCAATAAATCCCAATAAAACGATGCTTGGAAGCCCAACCTTACTTGAAAGAACCATCCTGGTCCCAAGGTGCCAGTCCCTGCTGGTGACCCAGCCTTGCCATGGCTCAGATTCCATAAATGGGGAAGAAAAGAGCTGGAGAAATAAAGGAGAGAGTGAAACAATGAGGGGCGAAGTTAAAAAATTAGGGGCGGGGTTAAAAAATTACGGGTGAGCTGAAAAAATTAAGGATAAAGTGAAAAAATTAAGGATAAAGTGAAAAAATTAAGGATAAAGTGAAAAAAACCTTTAGGATAAAGTGAAAAAATTAAGGCTAGAGTTAAAAAAAAAAAGCTAAATTGCACAATGGAGCTGTGTCCAGGTTTGATTCACTTTGCCACTGATTAAATGGAAAAATAAAAAGCATTAAAGTGATTGAAGAAAGGTCTTCAATGCCTGGGTTTGCTGAGGAATTGAGAGTGAGACACAAGCAGAGTGCAGCAGCCTGGGCTGCTCAGAGCATGGATGGATGGTGGATGCTCTTGCCAGGATTAATGGGGTTATTTCTCATTTCTGCACCACCCTGGTGTTTGTCTCACATCATCACTGCTGCTACTGCTGCCCATCGTTAATTCATTAATTCATTCATTAATGAGTGTCTCCAGGTCGTTAGCTCAGCTCTGAGGGGATCCCTTTGGGATCTGTTTGTTGGGATTGTTTTAGCAACGGATGAGAGTGGGCTTTGAACAGGACCAAGCTGGAAAATCTGGATCCTGATCTTTTTAAAATCTGGACCCTGATCTTTTTAAAATTTGGATCCTGATCTTTTTAAAATCTGGACCCTGATTTTTATAAAATTTGGACCCTGATCTTTTTAAAATCTG